CACCCCCCCCAAAAAACACAAAATATTTTGAATCCCCCCCCCCCCCCCCCCACACACGCACACACACTCCGAAGTCCCTCCCCCCCTCCCGCCTAATAACGAAGTGAGGCCGCTAATCTCTGCGCTAATTTACCACGGCTGTTGAGCCGACACTACACAGCTGCAATTTAAAACAAAGCAAAATAGGGGGGCAGGATCAGGATATTTAAACAAAACCCACCCCCTCCTCTTCCTCCTTCTCCTCCTCCTGCTCCCACCACTATATAGGTGAGGTAAGTTAAAGGGATGGAGGAAATGTAATTTGGTAAGCGCCTCGAGGACAGCTTTACAGTTTCCACAGCAACTAAACAGTTTTTCTCTTACATCTTTCTGTGAAAAACTGTAAATCAAAGCTATACGTCTCCATAACATTTCAGGAGAGACTCCTGGGATACTTTGGAAAAGACATTACCAAAGACTGGGTTGAAAAAAGGAATGGATTAATTATCAGAATTGCTTCCACTGTCTTATGTAACATCTCCGCCTGCAGTACACCTTTGAGCCACACGAGGGAGCATAATTGTTTGCATTGTTCTGCATCTTCTAACATTGAATGAAAGACGCATTTATTTGGTGTCATTTATCATGTCTAACACATGCATAAAACAAAGTGGTGATGTATAAAACATAAAAATGTATACACGTCTTATACATAAAAGAAGGAAAGAAAGAAAGGAGGAGGTAAGGTGATGTGTCAGGGAGCAGAACCATATGCAGTCTGAGACTCTTGGTGGTAAAAAGCTCCGTCTGTCTGCTCACATGAAATCTGCCACTTCTGTCGCCACATCTTTTCTGTGCAATTAAACTTGACAAGGCCGGATATGCTGCCAAAAAACTGGATCTAAATAGATCTGGATCTAAATATGAATCATATTGTTTATTGTCCAAGTATATGTACGCTATGAATATACTACATGTATATATGAAAAATGGTCTATAGTTCAATGTACTTATATAAATAAAATATGATATGATTTGATTGGTTACATGTTTGTATTAGGTTTCCTTTCAGATCCACTCTGAAACCGAGACGCAACTAATCCCACTGCAAAACCAGCCGATCCTTCTGCCATCGCGTGCAGCATGCGAGCTAATACGAATGTCGAGTTTGTGCACCAAGTGTCAAGTCCCGAGTGCCTCATTGTGGTGATTACGACACGAAAAGCCAAGACCATCAGTCGGTCCTCTCTCACTTTACAACTGATCCTTGAGGATCTGTATCTTCGTGCATCCTGAGTAACATTGGCCTAAATATAAATGCCAAAAAGATTTTTTTTCTCTTCCTTTGCACACACTGTGTGAAGCCATGAACACTCACTGCACTCGAGAAGGCAGAAAAACACCACCCACGTACACTTGCCTCCCACACACACACACACACACACAAACATCATTTACATCCAGCTACACTGCACATCGCAGTAATCTAATGTGCTAAATCTGGCCCGAATTAAACACTCTTTAATCCACTACGTGTCTTGGGATGGAGATCATATCGGCGAGCGAGGCTCGAAGCTTCGCTATGTTTCTGTTTTTTTTAAAGTCCTGCTGACTCCAGAGAGGATCAATGACCCCCCCCTCCATCACACAGGCTGCGTGGAGCAGGTCACCACAGCTGATCCTCACCCACACATTCGCCCGGGGGGGGGGAGGGGGTTCAGTTCACTTCTCCAAAGTTTGCATATGCGCTCGCGCTCAGCTTCCTCTACGGGATGCACGAGCACGCCGGTCAGAATCCATCGCGCATCGCAAGCTCTTTATTAGCGGCGAGGAAGAAGAAGACGATTCCTGCAGCTTCTCTGAGTCATATATCTGCAGCAGTGGGAGACAGCAGAGGGGGGGAGAGCGAGTGTGTGTACGTGGGTATGTGAGAGAGATCTAAAGAGAGAGAGTGTGGTGTGTGTGTGTGTGGGGGGGTTGGATGTGGGGGGGGGGGGCTGTAAAGGGGACCCGGGTCATGTGTCGTACAGCTACGCACATAATGAGGCTCCTTCTGAGAACCGATCTTCATTACTGGGCTTTGTACCGCCGAATCGCTGTTAATCCCACAAAGCGGGTGGAGTAACGCTGAGGGGGTGGAGGTGGGGGCACCCTTGAGCGTGGCTCGTTGGAGCTCCTGAACGCTCCCATTGTGACAGCGAGAGCGAAGTGGAGGTTTTTTATTGGGGAGGAGCGGAGGGGGGTTTATGTAATAACACGGCTCACTGGGAACTCAACCTCACGCCCCTCTTCTCTCTCGTTCCACGACGTCACCGTGGGTCACATTAGCTGCGCAATTAGCGCGACGTCTCACGTGATGGTCATACCATGAACACGCACACACACACACACACACACACACAACCCAAAATACACACCACAGACACGCAGCGGTAATTATCACCCTTGCGGTCCGGTGGTAATTACACACTGGTCACAGTCATTAATCTCTTGTGCACTGTGTGTGTACTTGTGTGCCAGCCTCTTTCACACACACACACACACACACATGGGATCATCCTAAACGCACTTGTGTGACCTCTTCCCAAAATAACAACAACAAAAAACAAACATCTGCCGTGTCCCACTGCCACGTTGCGTCGATGCCCTCCGACCCGCTGCTTCTCCGTGAGGTGAGAGGGTGAGAGAAGGGGAGGGGAGGAGGGGAGAGGGGGGAGTTTATTCCATGCCCTAAAACTAAAAGTTGTGGGTTACGTGAGAGCGCAGGGCGACGGTGCGCAAAAGAAACCCCAAAATCTAATGGGACAAAAACAAAGGCAGCTCTCGGAGCCGTGCCTTCTCCGGCCCCGGCTCCCCCCTCTCCCCCCTCTCCCCCTTGTTGACAGATGGTAAATGTGTGTATGTGTGTGTGTGTTCCACCCTTTCTCTTTTAGACTCAGGCCCACGGAGTAAGGTCACGCAGTCGCTCTCCTCCCCCCCTTGTCACCCTCCCTCCCACATCTTCCTTCTGTCTCCTCCTTCGATGCGAGCCGTATGCCGCGCCGCCGGTGACGGATTTTCTTGTGCGCATCTGATCCGTTATGAGGGGGAAAGGGCTTTTTTTTTTTTTTGTCGTTGACCCGAGCTAATAGGCCAGCTTTGGATCTGGGCTGAGTCACAGCCAGACAGGGACAATATGGCTCTGCTGCGCGGGCGACTGTTGGTAGAACGTGACACCCTTCATACGCCACGGCGGTCGGAGCCACGGATCCAAACGTCTGATCAGCCAGATCTTCTCGTCCCACACCCTAAGCACGAGAATCATCACCGCGTTCGACACCTGCAGCAATAACCAATATGTGCTTCTGCGGAATGACTAAGTCGTCCCCCGGGGCGGGGGGCAAGAGGGATTTGATGAAGTCTGAATTAATCACGGACGGGAGGATTGGGGCCGTAAGACAACAAGATAGTGAGCGAAATCCAGAGATAATTAGCGGGATCGCTCGGAGAGGTGGACGGTTTCTCTGTCGCTGGGATGGAAACAAGATCTTTTGGCTGGGTGCTTTTTTTTTTTCTTGCATGAATTGCTGCCTACTCACGAAGCTTCATGCTTCCCGAACAAAAGACGACTGTGTGTGTGTGTGTGTGTGTGAGTGTGTGTGTGAGTGTGTGTGTGAGTGTGTGTGTGAGTGTGAGTGCGTGGTAAAGGAAAAGCGAGGACAGATGTGCATGCCGTTCGCCAAAGAAGCGTTCGCCGCACTCTGAAACTTCAGGTCAGCCTTGAGTTACAGAGACAGAGGGGGGGAGTGGGGGGGATGGGGGGGTGGGAGGAGGAACGGGTTGGTTCTCTTTTAAAATCAACTAGCCTACAGGTCAGAGTGAAGAGGAAAAGAAAAGAAAAAAAACGCACTTTTAGAAAAGAGTGGGAGGACGTTTGATAGGGAGGGGCCTTCGCTGGTCCCGGGAAAGTTCAGGTCACCCTTTAAAGCCACAACCCTCCTGCCAGGACTCGAGTGTTCCTCAAACTACTACGCGACTCCTACGCACCTCACATAATGCACTGCCATCATTACACTAATCAAACGCTCTGCAGGTGAGAATCACGCACACACACACACACACTTGCGCCACCATGAAATGGACACCTTGAGCGCACGTCGCTCTGCCCATTATCCTCCAGCGCTCTGCATAATTCCTCACGATGGCGCATTAAAACAAAGGAAATAACCTCCTCAGGTTTGGCGGCATTACTGTGAGGATTATCACAGAGGCTGCGGCTTCGCTTCTCGATGGCGAGCACGTGCCTGTCGCACCTGTTCCACACACACACACACACACACACACACACGTTGGATGGTCACCACTGTTGGGTTTTTTTTTGGAAAAGAACTTACTTTCTCCGCAGGGTGGAGCTGGTGTTGGTGTCCGTGCTGTCGGTGCGTTCCAGCCGGTCTCGCTCGGCGTTGGAGGAGCTGCAGGAGAGACCCCGGGTCAGCCGGGTGTGGCTCCGCCTCTCCCTTCCCGGCCCCGAGGTCGCGGGCGACGCGACGGTCGCCGGAGCCGTCGGGCCGCCACTGTTCCCGCCGCCGCCGACCCCGCCATGGTGGACGGGGACGGACGGGGGCTGGCTGTGGTTGTGGTTCTGCTCGGGGTTGTCCGAGCCGGGCGTCCGCGGGCTGCAATCGTGCCTCAGGTCCTGGTTCTCCTGGTTGACCCGGTCCAGCTGGCCCTCCAGCTCCTCGATGCGCCGCCGCTGGGTCTCCAGCAGCTTGGCCTGGCTCTCGATGATGTTGTTGAGCTCCAGGAGGTACTCCACGGCCCGGTTGGGGCTCTCCGGGCTGGTCTCCATGGCGGGAGCCCTGTCCCTGCGGGTGTGACCGCCGCCGGCCACCACCGCCACAGTTTCGACCCCGCGGGGGGGGCCGAGATCCACCCCCCCCCACCAGCCCTGATGAGAGGGGGGGGAGGGAGGGACCCGACGAAGGCTCTAGTGGAGATTAACTAACGTCTTCGGGTGTTCAGAAACAGAAAGTCACAGGGGTTAAGAGGTTGAGGATCTCAGAGCGACTACATATCCCCCAATTCCAGGGCAGGAATGACAATTACAGCATCTTAGTGGCCATTGAGAATATTGCAATGCCGAGAATAGAGTTCACAGCTCAAGAAGAAGCTCAACACACTGTTGACCGTTGGTTTTCCTGAAGTCACGGTCATTTTTAAAGACCCCGCCGAATCAGCGCGGAGCGTTTCAAGAGTTTGGGACGTCATGATGAATATCAACTCATGAAGCAAAAGACGTTGTAAAGAACAGATGGGGGTAAGGGAGGGACGGAAGGGGGCGGGCATCTCTAAATGAGGCTGATGAATAATCTATGGTGAACTTAAACTGGCTTTAATGAATCCGAGCGAAACAAAATAATTAAAAAAAAAGGGAATAAGCCGCATATCAAATTGTCCACTCATCTGTGACATGTGTACTCATTTCACAAAACACCACATATTCAACAAGAACTCTTTAGCCTCCTCGACATGCAGGGGGAATGAGGAGGGATTGAGGGGTAATGGGGGGAGGCGGGGAGGTGGAGGAGGGAGGAGGGGGAGGGGGGGGTGATGTTATTTAAGATCGACCACTAATAATCAGGCGCTGTCAATCATTACATAAGACAGAACACGCTGCTCCCGCCCACGTTGAACATCCCCGCAGTCTATCATCGTCGCTTTCAACCCATGGCTCCATGTGTCTCTACCGCACAGAAAGTCACCACCGGCGGCTCACGAGGTCCATTCTGGAGGTCCGGGTCCTTCACCTTCTGGTCCGACAAGATCTACATCCTATAGTGCCTTAAATTCACATCGGTCCCCTGTTGCGTGTCATCCTATAGAATGGAAAGACGAGTTCACTTCCACGCCTCCGTACAGAAAAAATCACTCTCGCTCGGAAGCTCAAATAATAATAACAACACTTCCCCTTCTTATGAAAAATTAAAAAAACAAAAAAAAACAACGACTGTTCGGAATAGAATTGATCGCCCGAGCGTCTCGATAGGCTGATGCGGAGGTCGGGGAAACAAAATCTTTGAAACTGTACTTTAGGCACAGACCTGGGGTCGGTTGAGTTATTCCTACTTATCTGAGAGGAGTTGCTTCGTGCGGGTAAAAATCCGTGCTGAATCTTCCGTGCAGGTGGAGCGGCAACACGCGCGCACAAGGTTTCGCTTTCTAGCGCGTCTGAACCGCAGCGATTCTTGTGTGTTTGTGTGTGTGCGGCGTTTCCTTCCGAGCGCATTTGTGTGAAGGCAGCGTGAAGGGCGTGCAACATCCGGCTGAGAGTTTCAGAATAAGAGAGCGGTGAAGGTTACGCGGGTGGCGCGCGTTGTTCTTTAGCCCCCTCAAATAATTTGGCATTAATTGGCTTTAAAAACAAATCTTGGTGATGTCATGAGATTAAACTATTGTTTCTTACTAGCCCAAGTTCTTTAAAGCTCCAACGTGCTATATATCCTTTTTACAGGATATGATATATACTACTAACAACAATATCAATATATTATAAAAAAATAAGAACATTTGATTGTGTCAATGGTGTATGTTTGCATGCGGGTCAGTGGGAGAGAGAACCGGCCTCGTTTTTGTGGAAAGGATATTTATAAGCAACAGCAATGCTATGTAAAACAGCTATAACATAACACCTAAAACAATGAATAAATGGGCAATACACTAGTAAGAACGTATTTACAAAAAACAATTCAATTGTGTTCTAAGCCTATTGTTAAACATTTCAAGCCTATTGTCCCACCCCGGACATAAACTGTTTGTGCCCCTTCCATCTGGCAGGAGGCTGAGGTCCATCAGGACTACGACCTCCCGCCACACGAACAGTTTCTTCCCGTCGGCAGTCGGGCTCATCAACAGAGCCCGGTTCCCCACTGCCTGACTATAACACTCCACCGGTCACTCCCCCTCACACTGCACATGCCACTTTAACTGCAATTCATCACTTTGTCACTTGTCACTTTGTCTCTTGTCTGTTACTTGTTTGTTAGTGCACTTTATGCTTAATACTTTTCTTTTTAACTTTTTAATATTTAAAATTTGTTTAACTTTATTCCCTTGTTTTTTTTACTAACCCATAGCCTTAGCCTTATTCTTACTAACCCATTGCATTAGCATTTCATTCCACTTTATTTTATTACCTGTGCACTGTTGTCTTGTCTGTCTACTGTCGCGCACTAACCGCCAAGACAAATTCCTTGTATGTTTGACATATTTTGGCCAATAAATGTTTCCTGATTCCTGATTCCTGATTCCTGATTCCTGATTCATAGCCTCGTGGCGAAGTGTAGGAATGTCATTTTATTTTGAAGGTACGACCCCCTCGTTCTATCTTTGTGACTGGGTGGTTGCTGGAATCAGGAATGTACATGTAAAATAAAAACAGCCTAAAACCAGTGCAAGTAACTCATTCTGCTCCGCTCAACAATTCTCTATAATCTATTTTCAAATTCACAATTTTTTTTTTACCATCATAACTCTCGCCGAAGTAGTTTTATGTCCACTTATTAATCTGACTCGTTATGCGGTGCGACTGGATTGCCGTCGCGATAATTCTCCTGACGTGTGATGGGTTGCATCTTTAGGACAGCACGGGAGAAAGGTGTTATTTTTAGTGGCAGCACCTGAGTGCTCGTATCTGAACCGAGGCACGAGATATAAATCCCCCCGCTCGGAGGAGGAACATCTGACATCAGGCCGCGAGCTGAGCGCGCGTGGGAAATGTAGAAACAGTCTTCTCGCAAAACGCAGGTTGAATCATTCTGTGACAAATCTGTCGTTTATTATTCTCGCGCACACCTCCCGTTCTGTTTTCTGAATACACAGCCTACTTCTGGGCATCATTTTACGCACAAGTGCGCGCACACCCACAACTTCGTCACGTCAAACCTTCGCTCCTAAATGCAACGTGGTCTTTCATTTTGCTGCCACCTGCTGTCCACTAGTGTTCCTTTCTTCTGCTGTAAAAGAAAAAAATAAAGAAAAAAGCAGTGGAAGAAAGACACGCAGTGACACACAGGACATGAATTCAGCAGTTTATTTGCAGTTTTATGAGAATGTGTTTACAGTTCGCCCTTTGGGAAATGAAAAGTCTAAAAATAAAAAGAACATTAACAAACGCTATAAAATGAGTCGGTATAGGCTACGAGCTGCTGTGGATGGTGACTGGCTGGGAGGGACAAAGTGTGTTGGCATTGCTCTAAAAAACCCAAACAAACGGGCAGGGCACACCGAGCTGTTCGTTTTGGGTAAAATCTGAACATCACCCTTAAGGTAGTTATGAACGAATAACAAACACCTGTAACAGTCTGTGTCTCCTAAAGCTGCCGTAAAGAATCAACATAACATTGCTATTATTATTGAAATACTACAAATCTACCCTCTATGTTGTGAACACGGTGTCCCTTCTGTAGCTTTTCTTCCTAATGGCTTTTCAAAAGCAAAAGTATCTGAAAACCTGAGAATTCCAAAAAAGATAATTTCATAGAAAAATAACATCTCACAGTATCCATTCAACCTGTTTTTTTTTCCTCTGTAACATAACGGTTTTTTTTGAAAGAGAGGGAAACAAATGTGCTTTTCTGCCAAATAAAATGCAACGCTGAGCTCATATTCTGCAGAGGCTTACGATCTTACGGGTTGTTTTTTGTGGATTTACAGTAAGGGCCCTTTATTTTTGGCATGACTGGATTTAATAAATGTTCTGCCCTACTCCCGTGTTCGAGACGTCAGAGCTTTCACAGTAAGAAAAATCATCGGTTAAGATAAAGTGATTTATGTTACCAAGGCAACTGTACGTGGCACGACGGGCACAGCACTCTCTAGAAACTAGACGGTGTTATTGTTCAGACCCCACATACACAATTTTAACAGTACTTGAAATACGCACGCCGGATGCATATTTTTGGCATCTTTTGTTAACTTTTGAAGAAGGGTACAACATAGAGTATCCTAATTCACACTCTAGCAGCATATTACAAAACATTCACGTATGAATAGGGCTTTTACTATATAGTTCTTAGTCTGTTTACATTTTGCGCCATCACAAAAGCTATATACCACTTCACTTAATTTCTCATCACACAATAATATAACTTGGCATCTATTGTATGTAATATATAGATAAAGATATACTGCATACATTAATTTATATGTATATATATATATATAATATATAGTCTTATCGTGATGTACATTACAGGAATAAAAATCAGGGCTTGGCTCCAGCTTCTATAGTATTTACAATAGGTTCCGTTGTATATTTCTCTACAAATATTTACAGAATATAGATTTAACACCCGCAGTCAAAAGGGATTCGCATTAACACAATCAAATATTCAGTTATATGGAACGTGAGAACTCGCCGCAGGTGTCCACATAAGACAAAGAGGGTCTTGTACAAACATGTCACACTGTTTCCTCTGAGGCCAGATTGCGCGCTGTAGGGGAAATGTATGGCTGACAGTCTACGACAGTTGCATTATTATTGCTCAGTATCTTCTTGAGGTATAAGTGAATGTCTAAGCAGTCCTTGCACAGTAGGAGGGGTGTTTCAGAGACGATTACTCACCGCGAATGCAGTGGGAAGACAGACGCAGAGAGGCTAGTAAAGACAGGAAGTTGGTATAAACGGGGTGCACAAAAAACTTTGTCGTCATGGAAACATCTATAACAAATGCTGCAAATGTACAGAGAGGAGTGAAACGTGATGAGGGCAAGAGCTCCTTAGACAAAAAAAAACGGACTTTACCATGTTGGTGTCATTTACAGGTAAAAATGTGATAGAAATTTAACATCAGCCAGAGGTCAGCTGTAAAAAGGCACAAAGAATATGACTTCATACTACGGTAGATATCAAAATGGCAACAACTCCGCTGCTGCAGACTCTACTTCCTGTTAAAAGTCAAGAGATGACACCTCCCCCTCCACCCTGGCCCATCCGCCCCTCGGGTCTCCGGTTCCCCTCCGCCGCTGGCCCCGCCCTCTGCCGGCTGGGCGTGAGCCACGGGCCCGGGAGCACCGAGGCCCTGCGCGCGCCAGCTCCCGTGGCGGCCAGCGAAAGGCCCGAGATGCTGGCGGCCGACGCGCTACAGTCGGATTGGCTCCCGCCGGACTCTGACTCGTCATCCCCCAGCAGCTCGAGGGACAGAGTGGAGGTGAGGAAGGAGAAGGGCGTTCTCTGTGACGCCGGATCCACCGCGACAGCGCTCAGCGAAGGCCAGCTCTGTGCATCATCGTCCCTCTCGTCCTCGTTCGGTTCCGTCTCTCTGCTGTGCCCCCTGTCATCACGCCATGGCCTCTCCTGCTCCCTCCCCTGCTCCGCCTCTTCCCACGGGTCCCTGTGCCCAGCTACCACGCCCCCCTCCCCCTCCCACTCCACCTCCCAGTTTTGTTTAGGTCTGGGAATCTTTTGAATGGTAATTGTAATGGGTAAGAAAACATCGTCGTCACTATCGTCTCCCAGACTGACTCTCTCCTCCACCTTTGCTGCCACCCTTTCCTCAACAGCAGGCTCCCTCTGCTCTTCCTCCTCAGGCTCCTCACCCTCCGTCTTCCTCGACCTCTCCTCACTTCTACTCTTCCTCTCTCTGCTTTTGCTCGTCCCTCCCCTCCTCTCGTGTTTCCTTCCCCTAACGGTCTCCCTGTCTGTATCTCCGTCCTCATGTTTTCTGAGGGCATCTCTGGGTAAACTCTGAGACACGATTTTTCTGCCCCTCCGCCGCCTCTTGTCCCTGGTTTCCTGGGACTCCCCCAGCAGAGAGAAAGGGATTTGTGAAGCAGAAAGTCCCATACCCTCTGAGATCCCCCCTCGCCTGCCTCTCCCCAACCACTTCTCCTTCTCGAGTCCGCTCGAAGACCTGCTTCTCCTCGTCTTCTTCTTCTTCGTCTTGGAGCTGTGCCCCTTCCGCCCGGTGGAGTCTACTGCAGCCAAACCCTGCTCCTCGGGGTTATGCGGGAGGGAGGGGGAGGTGATTCTGTGCTCACGGCCTGGACACGCATTACATGGAGAGAGGAGGAGAAAACAGACCGAATAAGCAGGTAAAAGAGAGAACAAAAATCTGTCAGAGAGCGTTACGTAACGTGCTATTGGACTGTGGAGTGTTTTTGTTTTTTTTATGTAAGTTGTGCAACAACAGCTGCTTTTCTATTTTAGTACAACCTTCAGATTACCCTTCATTGGAAATACATACACAGATCTACTTGTCTTCACGTGCCACAATAATGTAGTCGCACAATTCTCCTTGTTAAATAGCTTCTATGCATCTTTTACTGCAGGTAAAGGAAGAAGTGGTGACTAAGCAGAGGAATGTAAAGAGACAGAAAATGGGAGAACTAACAGGAACCATTACCAACCGCGTATTCTCTGTCCGTCCAATGACATAGAAGCAAGGCTCGCCGAGCTTGGAGTTGGTCATACATAGAGACAAACTGGAGAGCTCCACTGAGAGAGAAAAAGGAAGAAGTGGAGCAGAAAAGAACATTTTGCGAGAAAAAGTCAAACCAAAGCCAGAGGGAAATTGTGGTGTGGGAATGTTAAAAAAAATGAAAGAAGAAGAAATAAATGAAAGGTCAAAAGCATGTTAGTTAGAGTAAGTCCCACAGGACGAGAAGAAGAAAGGAGATCCCACACGCATAAAGACACGAGAGTTTTTCAATATCTTATATATTAAATGTAATATCTTCCGTGCATTCCCCTGTAAACACGCGTAAGGTCTCACCATAGTCGGGCACGTAGCCGTTCCCTCTCTTCAGCACCAGGTGGATGCGCTGGCCTCCTCTGCGGATCTGCTCCACCGCCTGGCTGTGGGTCATCCCCGCCGTACTGTCCCCGCTGATCTCCACCAGCTGATCGCTGACCTGCAGCCACGGACAAAATGGGTCGTGACCTTACTTAAAATACTGTAGCATATTATATCCTGAAACGGAAATGTGCAAGAGTAACTACGGTACGGTTAACGCATACGTTATACGTTAACAATGGCTCCGTCCCAGAGTCCCAGACCATAGTCATTGAGGCAGTGAGCCAGGACCCGTGATCTGCAGCCGGTAAATGGAACCCAATTTCTGTATTTTCACTACCACTAAATGCTAACGCTAACATGGCGATATGCCCATTAGTAAAAAGCTAACATATTGAGGTTTCGCAGATCTTATTTCATCGTTTTAGAAGGATTATTCACTTATTTTGCAGAGTCAAATTTGGTCAAACTAGACCCACGCAGTCTTTTAAAAATCTTTATTTCACGTTTTTGGGGGAAAAAATCCTCTAAAAATGACCATAACACACAATCGAGCAGAACGCAGGTCTACACTTTTTAAAATCCCGATGTATTTAGTGTGTCACTGATCAACACTTTAAATGTCTGTTGGAAGCATAAATATTAACAAATTGTTTAATGACATGGCAAACAGACCCACCTGCATTTTGGTGCTGCGTGAGGCCGGCCCCCCCTCCATCAGCCCCAGGACGTAGAGGCCCATGTTGTACTCACTTCCCCCTCTGAGGCTGAAGCCGAAGCCCGATGGGCCGCGGTCCAGGTCGACACTGTAATACCTGGAGTCCCTCTGGGGGGACGAGATGCGCGGAGAGGACCGATTACTAACACAGCAGGGGGTCGGACCCAGAGGCGGTGGATAAGATGAGCTACAGCACAAAGTCACCCCCCCCCCCCCACCCCCCTCACCTTCGGACGGGACCTTTGACCCTTTCTGCTTCTGTGACCGGAGTCCAGCTCAGTGGGTTCTGAAAGGCTCGAGGAATCTGAGAAAGACGACGATAGAAGTCAGACTATGCAGTCGAGAAGCGGGCTGTACGTTAGTGTGCGTTTCCTGGACACTGGCGCTCACAGGTGCTGGGACGGGGGACGATGGTGAGGCGCAGAGTGTTTCCCGCTCGACGGAGGATCTGGGCCAGTTCGCGGTGAGGCAGGGTCACCACCGGGCGCCCCTCCACCGCCTCCAGCCGGTCTCCGGGCCGGATCTGACCGCTCTTGGCCGCCGGGCTGCCTCGACGTACCGTCACAAACCGGTGAGGCAGAAGCGAAGCGGCTGCATTGAGGACATAAATCAGACGGTAAAAAATTAACCTCAAATAAACTCGAGTTAAAGCTGCGATTGGGACATCCATCGGGATTAAAAACTTTCCTCTGAAGCTAAAGGCGATAAGTGATAAATGGGGTCGAGTTTAAATAAATTTAAAAAGCAGGGAGATTTATTTTCCCTCTGTGTTTGCCAGAATTCCTTAAATAAGCCGTAATCAAGAGCTGGGTTGTTTTTGGCAGGGCTTACTTTATAAATGACTTGCCACAGAGGCCTTCCTTCACACCTCCCCCACTGTCTCCTTGAAACACTCCACCACCTTCATCCACCTTCATCTTCTCAATTTATCAACCTATCTCTCCATCCGCTGACACACCAGGAACTCACTGATTTATCTTCCTCAGGAACAAACTGTGATGCAACGCCATACCAGCAATATCTTTCCCTCCCGGATCTGATTTACCTCACAGAATTTAGATGTTTACACGTTGGCTTATACAGCGTCAGTGACTCTTCTGCTCAGCTCTCTTAAAAAATCCACAAACTCGCAGTCTGTCCGCATTAGTAACTCCTCAGCATGCAAAACAAAAACACACAAAGCAATATTTAGTTCTTTATGCCACAAAGTGTTTTCCTCTGCTGTGTGGGAAAACGTATACTGGGCAGCCTGCAAATACATTTGCTTCAATTAATCTTTTGCTGAAGCTAAAAAATCCTTCTAAAGATTACTTAGCTGGACTGTCAGTCTGCTTTGATTTATAACTCTATCTTCTGTTCCTCTCTCTGTATCCTAGTAGCTCTTCATCGTGCTCTCCCTGACCCTTCTTTGAGGGTACGCTGGGTTCTGGAGACAGCTGGACCCTCCACAGTCTTGCCAGGGGCCTTGCGTAACCCATCAGGCAGCAAAAACACTCAGCTGAGGTACATCGCTCCCTCAGTCTCAGGATGAACGAGTCTAAAATGTCCTATGTGGCGCCGTGAAATGAAGGATCTGTGCTAAACTGTGTGTCACATTCAGAAGATGATCCCCCAAAAAGGTACAGCCTCTAATTCAGCGTCCAGAGAGACATCTCCAATCTGGGCCTAATCTGGGTGACCCAGGCAGAAACGGCAATCAGGTCAAATCAAAGCCACGGCGGCTTTGCGAAATAGTCTCCTTATCATGCATAATACATCGGCCCAACATCCAACGGCCGTCCAAACACATGATTACGCGCACGACAGGCCGCGCTGGCCTCGGCACGCACGCACACATACACGGTCGACTCACAAACAGAGGAATTGGGACAGATGTACACACGGACACGAGCTTAAACTGTGCACAGACGCATCCAAATGGAGGGCTTTCTATCGTAGTGTGTTTTCCCCCGGCTCTCCATGTTCTCCTGTCCAGAGTAATCTCACTGCAGTGTTCCCAGCAGTCAGCCAGCCTCTGACGCTCTGCACTGATCACTGCTCAGTGCCCCCCCCTGCCCCCCTTACACCACCACCACCACCATCGTAAAACCCCCCCTCTGCAGCCTGGATGCATCACGGCCGGTGCAGACTTCCCAACAGCAGCAGCAGCCTGCAGATGCCCAGTTGATGATGACGGGAGCCCGGGGAGAGCACTGCTGAGCTCGAGGGGGTAGTGGTGTGGTTGATGCTGATCTCAGCACTGCTGAGACAGACGCAGTCGTTTAAATCCATTCACTTCGCTGCCTGTGCGGCTCGCTAATGGCTCTAACACACAGATGACCACTTGTGTGACTGGGTTTAAAAATATCTTAAATGGCCCTTTCACATGTTTGTCTTCCTCGTCATCCTTTAAGCTGTAAAAAAAAAAACACACAACCACAAAGCACTTTGCACTTTCAGTATTACCATCGGACAAGTACAGCGTGTGAGCTGTGGATCTAACTTTCATATACAAGTCAACACCTGACGAGCAAACTTCAGCACTATAACCTCTCTCTCTCATGACGACCACTTGAAATACTGCACCAAAACAGCACCCTCCCCCTTTTATCCGAGTAAACATGAAATGAAAAGTGAAACAAATAATTACGTTTGGACTCCTTCACAGTTTTCAAAGCAGACTGTAGTCGCTCCAGCATGGCTCTTTGATTAGCGAGCGCAGGCAAAAAAATAAAAATAAAAATAAAATCCTAAATTCCTTTTCAGGCAGCTTGGAGGTGTTCAGATGAACCTACAGCGTTCAATGGGAGCCAAAACACAGTTTTGCTGTCCCCCTCTGTTGCTCCTCTGCGAAGGAAATGCTAAGCGTGGTTTTTCTCTCGAGCATTCGGAGAGCAATGGAGAGGTAGGTGGGAGGCGGAGGGAGGGAGGGAGGGAGAGAGATAGAAAGAGAGGGGAGAGTTTTAATCTTTTCAAAAACCAGACTGACTGCTTTTACTGCAGAGTAAAGGAGAGAGAGGGGGGGGAGTGGGCGGGGGAGAGAGATGGGAAGCCTGATGAGGGGATGAGGGAAGAGGTGATGACAGAGGATAAATGCCGATAAGGAGAAACAGGGACTCTCTTCTGTCACATGACAGTGAGTGAAAAGGAAGACGGAGGGAGGGTCCACAACCTACGACCTTTTTCTCACCACGGAAACAACAACTGTGAGTTTGCCCGGCCCGTAAAGCACACTGGACTGCATCAAACTGGAACAGAGGGCAGCCAATGCAACGCGGGAGAGGGGGGGGGGGGTAATGCATCACGGGGATGCTGCAGTTAACCGGCTATTCATAAGCACTCCACTAACAGCTAATCAGGGCGGGATGTGTTCGCTTCCCGGGCGGATCATAAACAAGCCTCAATGCTCCGTCATGTCGGGCCGGATGGAGAAGAGTGGGATAGAAAGAGGCGATAATTTAACTGAAGAGACTATTGCATTATTATCGAAGGAATATTGTGACATCTTGTAGGTTTTATGTGTTAGGTTGTTTTAAAGAGGGATCTGAGGGGGATCGGCGAAACTCTCGATTTACCAGTACATCTGTGTTCAAAACCTCACACAGGGTCATGCGCTTTGACTGAGTTTCCTCGAGGGTTTGACCTCAGACATCCGAAGGGAGCTCGTAGTAGAGACGCGGCTCCTTTGAGGCCTCGCTATGAAGTTTCCCGGGTAGATCCAACTGTTCAAAGGCCCTGCGGAGGAGCTGGCTGCTTACGCCTTGGGGCTCCCCCCTAGGAAGAGCTGAAAAAACCTTCTGGAATACTTTGCTACGTATGGATCCATCCATGATGAACAGCAGATATCCCAAAAGACTTCCTTTAACAAATCAACCTGGGGAAGAAGCACCTCATGAGAAAAGGGGTTGATGACGCATCATGACTCATCTGCTGGCTCGAGGCCAACTGGCCGTGGTGACCTGTTTTTAATCCGTAATCACCTAATGGTGCATCTGTCCACAAGGGCATCCAAATGAAACCAGTTTCCCAGGTTAGGGTTTGTTTTTTTTCCCCACCGGCTCTCACCTTTTCCATTCGCCGCATCCTGAGAGGCAATGACGAACCCGAAGCCTTCTCCTGGCTTCCTCCTCAGCTCCACGTCGAACCCGCGCAGCGGCCGAGTTTGTCCCCCGCAGTGCCTCTCTACGGCCGGGTCGGGCCCCGGGCCGCCGCCCGCTTCGTCCTCCAGGCCGGTGTTGATCCAATCGTTGGGTTCCATCGTCAGCGTCACTGGAATCGACTCCAAGAAGCTGGTGCTCTGGATGAGCGAGGAGCGCTTCAGGGCCGGGGAGGAAGGGTTGCTGACGGAGGTGCGGGGAAAGAGCAGCACTTCCGGCAGCACAGGGGAGATGTCGGAACCGACGGGTGGAGGAGGAGGATGGAGGAGAGGCGGAGGGAGCCTCCGATTAGACCCGGGGGAGATGGTTGAATGATAGATGCCTGATAATGAGCGAGAAGATAATGAGAGAGACTTGTTTTTGTTACATAAACGACCCTACGAGGAATGTGAATTATTTACCTCCTCTGTAAATCAACAAGATGACTTCTCCCTGTCTGGTGTGTTCCTGGAGAATTGTCTGTACCTGCCAACAAGAGTATAAATCATGTCTCATCTTCAGGTTCTTTGGATGTATTTGACACCTTTTGAGTTTATGTCCATCAAATAATGTTTATTTTTCAGACTTTCTCTACTTTCTTCTTTTTTTTTTTTGGCGGTCTGCAGGATAGTTTGATCTCATCAGGCCACTAAAGACTAAAAGAAATCACACAAATAAATGAATAGCAACTCCCAGAAATGGTCTTCTTTGGAGTAAAAACACATCAACTATTAATTCCGCTTAGTTCCCATTACTTCTCATGACTCCCCTCGCATTTGGTCCCCCTTTACCTGCCCGAAAGTAAGACTCTGAACATCTGCTCCGTTGATCTTGACGATAGCGTCCCCTGGCTGCAGGGAGCTGCACTGCGTCCTGTCCCACACTCTGTTCACGATGGTCACCCGGCCTCCTTGACCGCCGGCCGTCACACTGAAGCCGAGTCCTTGGTCTCCTTCAGTCTGGGCCAAGGCCACCGGCACCAGCTCCCCTCCGCTCAGACCGCCAACGCCGCTGCACGCGCTCACCCCCCCGGGGGAGGACACGCTGCTCGCGCTGGCGGTGGGGCTGGTGTTGGCATGGAAACTGTTGAAGCAGTGGTAGTGGCGGGGGCTGTCGGGGGCGGGAGGAGGTCTGAGGTGGGAGCTGTGCGGTCTGAAGAGGCGGGAGTGAGCGCTGAGGGGGCCGCCGGGAGAAGACAGGGGCCTCCTCGGCGACTGAGGCAGGGGAAGCCGCGACCCCGACAGGGTGGAGACGTCGCTCTCGGACGACTTGAATGTGCCGTAGCGGTAAGGGTGAGGGGGCGTCGAGAGGGAGTTGTTGTTGTGATTGCGGATCATTGATGCCCTGGTGATAAAGAACGGGAGGAGACAAAATGTTTAGGGCAGCAACTGATAACTTCTTTTCACCATCAATGATGCGCACTCTAAAAAGTCAACAAAAACTCTTGTTTCGTCGAAATAAAAATAAAAAGGCTGCATCCTCACTTAAGATTGTACCATTTAATCTTGAAATGATTACTTAGTTATCAAAACAGTGACACTGCATGCAGCTTGTGTAGTAAAACACTACAGTTTGGTATATAGAAGATGATCAGGGATCAAATGCCGCCAACCAAATACAAAAATAATTGTGTAGAACTGACTTCATGTTTGCTATTCTACTAACAAGTGGCACACTAGAAAACGTAATTAGACACTAAATACAAGATGCCTTTTCTCATTTTTTGACTAAAAGATAACTCGTAAAACGGACCAAAACCTGTCAGTCGTTATTTGTTAAATCTTAGGGATCATTTTCTTACCGCCTGTAATTATGTGAAATATGTCTAACTTGGAAAAAAAATGAATTGAAAATTGCTTAATTAAGTAAATTTAAGATTCAAAATCACTTTCAAATCCCAGCGGACAGCTGCTGATTATTTAAATGAATTACTTTGAAAAGGCATCACAAAGGCCTCTCCTCTGTAAGTGTTGGTGTCACCTGTGTGAACCGATGGCAGAAACAACTTCACTGTCGCTCTGGCTGGCGAGCGTCGGGTCAAACGACTGCAGCCTGGCCAAACTTCTCATAGAGCGAGGAGGGCGCACGGGCGACGGCGAGGCAGTGGTGGTCACGCTGGAGCGTCTGAATAAGGGCGACTGTCTGGTGGCGAAGGACACGGCGTTCCCGTTGGCGTCTAGAGTCACCCCGGGCTCCATGAAGCTGCCGTCACCGCGGAGCCCGTCGTAGTCGAAGTGGAGGGTGGGTGTCGGCAGGCGAGGCAGTTGGTGAAGCGGCTGAGGCTGGGTGGTGGTCGGGGGTCGGTTGGGGTCCTGCTTGGGACAACCGTCGGGGTTGTAGAGCATGGGGTAACCTCTCCTGACCTCTACGTCCACACTGTGGCCCACGGGGACCGACTTGAGCATCTCCACCACCTCCTTGTGGGACACTCCCAGCACACAGACGTCATTGATGTAGACCAGGATGTCCGCTGATGAAGCGCGAGAACAAAACACACGGGAAGACAGATCAAGACTTTTTAATACTTTGTGCATTTTGGTTCATCTGCAGCAAAAGTACACGGATTTTGTCAAATTGTTTTTTAAATGCTACTACATGATTGAGCCGTTTCATATGTTTGAGTGTGCAGATAAATGGGGTTTGCAAATGAAAACACTGTCTGTGTGTTTTGTGTGGAAGTGGACTAATCCAAACAACTAATCCCTCTAAACCTATTAACCGATATGAACTAGATCAGCCCCTGCGGAGACAGCTTGTGCAGCTGCTTCCTAGAGTGGTCATATACGCCTGCTTGAGTCTGTGTGTGTGTGTGTGTGAAGTGGATGTGTACCGTTGCATATGCGCGTGTTATGATAGCTTGACTTTGTTTTAGCGGTCCTGAGGATTAATGGCTGATTGCGATGTGGCGGATCAGAGTCCCGGCGATTGGAGACAGAGAACTTGGAGAGATGTCAGAACATTCTGCGGCTCAAAATGTTTTATTTTCCCCCATTTTTTTTTAAAGACTCCAGGAAAACCTGAGAATCTGAGCATGCGTCTTTTATCATTTCCCACACCTGTCACATCTCACGTGGCTTTCTGACGCCGTAATTGACCCCGTTTCATTGTATTTATACCTGTTTTGAGAGCCGAGGGTCCACTTGCAGTCACACTGTACACCTGGAGGAACTCTCTCGGCCGGCTGCCCCCGACAATATTGAAACCAAACCCTCTGGAGCCCTTTGTCAGATGTGTGTGCACGGGGAAACCCCTGAGCTCCCCGGGCTGGTCCGTGAACCCTGGTAGTAACCAAAAACATACACAGATGAGATAGTGATGATGCTCACCTCCAAGGAAACATCAGGAAAATCTTCAAGGCATTAAAGATTTATAAAAAAAAAAATGTTAAGAAACACCTGAGAAAAATCGGAGAAAAGAGATGAGTGACAACAGTTTAAGTCCTGGGTTCTTTTACGAGTCCATGGTTCAAAATGACGGGTTTAGTAGTGAAGGAAGAGAGAGAGAGATTCAGAACGTGCAAACCAATCACCAGATGGCTTTCAATAAAATAATACCTATAAATAAATCAACACACACGCGGACCAAAGTGTTTAGTGGAAAGGTTCAATTTAAAGCAGAATCCATTACAGAACATGACTGCTTTAAATCATCCACATAATGCTTTAGATTGACACAACTCAGCACTGCAATCTGGGATTTCCTTTTACTGCTAAATCTCACTTTGCATCATAATATGTTCTTATTTTAGCTGCATGTTTTGAAGCCATAATGGAGACTATAGCGCCTTCTGCTGGTGAGGGAAAGATACAGCACCTCACGGGGGGACAAGCTGGAATCACAGCACAGTAACAGATGGCTTCCTTATAATTTGCAATCGGCCGTGTCAGTCAGACATCAAAAAGTAGATCACGTCCTCGGCCTTTAAACGGAGAATCATGTGACCATAATTATGAAATGAAGTTGTCGTCCACGTGCCGTCCCTCCGCCAGCGGCCCCCGAGCTTCAGGCCTTAATCACTCACTCGTCTCCATTCAGCTAAAAAGCTCATTCCGTCTCGTTTGACTCGAACAAGCTGCCACTGTCGCTTACTTCCGTTTCATTCTTGACGAATGTACATGCGCCACTCGGGCTGTTCCACGGTTCAAATGTGTCACAAGCGTCGCGGTAATTACATCCAGAAAAGAAGAAGACAAAAAAAAGACAGGAAACAAAGAGGCTCACACTCGTTTCTGTAGGCAGCCTCTCTGCTCGAGCCTCGACGACTCCGCCAGTAGGTCCTCGTGTGGTTGCGACTTGATTGAGACAAAGAAAACAAAAGAGAAGATTCAATTTTCAGAAATGTAATAGTGTTGGATATAATTCGACAGCATCCGAGTGTAATACAAGTAGAACCGAGATGCCTCCCACTGTCATGACAACATTGCATTGCAGCTTTGCTGTTTTGAGAGCATATTTAAACGAATAGTTATTTTTATAGATGGATTATTTTATTTTAGCAGACACACTTTTAATCCAAACCTGTAATATATAAAGTAATATATTGTCTTTTGGTCTTTTTTTTTTTGTTAATCCATACAAAAACTCCCTTTCATTTTCAATTCCCTTTCGCACAGTGTGTTTTTTGTATTGTTGACCACCGTGGTTGGTTTTACTACAGATTAAACAAACATATATATCATCTTAATTCAGTCACACCTGTAGACAGAACCAGGGCCACTGGATTCCACTTCCAGCCATGATGCTGGGATAAGCTAACCATCTTCCAGATAGGAAAACCGTATTGATCTCCTGATCTAACCGAATGAGCCTATTCCACCAAATGTTGAACAATTCCTGAAAACTGGACCGGAACCGAGACTCACTCTATGTAGTGAGACTCTCCCGTATCACTGAAGGCCTGCTCCCAGTGATCAGGCATCGCGCCTCTCACGCCGGCACCGCCGCCGATCCCGTTCTCTACGACGCGCCCATCCCCCTGGCTGGATGCCCGAGGCCGCCCGGGGGACCGATGGCTAGTAGGGATGCTGCTGCCGACACCTGCAGAGCCTCCTGCGAGTACAGTGACAGGAAAGAGTGTTGCAAAATCTAAATTGAGCTGTGAAACGATTTCATGCAAAAAACACCCGAGGTCAGCATCTTGGCCGGCTTCGTCGGCCCTCTGTGGAGGCGGAGTGTGTGACCATGCATGCCGCCGTATCACCAGCAAAAGAAAAATAAGCAATTTTCTTTTTTTGGCCTGTATGTCCTTGTAGCCGTCCTTCAGGTGTGAGCTCCAGCCCGGATCCGAGAGATGTACGACACAACACGGCGCCACCTGAGTCCCGCCGTGCAAGTGCTGACGAAGCCAATGCGCCCAAATGGCATCACTTCGTACCATGACTCAGCAGATAGGGGGGCTCACTCAGTCTGCATCCCGCCGGAATCCCAAACTCACTCCTCGGAGCCGGGCCGCCCCACCTCTCCTGTTCACAGCACGTCTCTGACGATCTGGATCTCTGCCCGCCTGCGTTTCTCACCTCCCACTCTGCCTTTATCTGCGGCCCCATTCTGGCTCCCTGCCTGCCTCCATCGCCACCTTATGTCGCTGCCTCGCTCCCTCACTCCCTTACCTGAGCCACCTAATCGCACACTCGCCTTCTGTTCAGCTTATGCGTTCTGGATTCTTCTCCAACTCTCCACCACTGCCCTCACTATTTTATCTGCATGTATGATGTGATTAACAGGGGCAGAAAGTGCAGTTTGAGGTACTGTGCCTGCTTTTATGTGCGCTTTGTTTTTGCTTGTGATTTCAAAAAAATATTTTAGTTTAGGGCCCTTATCACTTTTTTCAACCAATATTCTGTCATGATGGAGAATAGTATCCACAAAGAGGGAGAAAGTTAGCAAAAGTGAACACACATTTTGTGGCAGAATAGCAGATCCTTTCTAGCGCCATTAATAGTCTCGCGATGACCCCCTCTCTGACCCCCTTTGGAGGGACTTTGACTACCAGGTGACGACATTATCCTGCCAGACGAGTGTTTTGTTTGATTTTACTTCGCTACTTCAGCGTATTGCAATTTGAATGAATAAAGTATCTGAATATGCCGTCTACCACCGGGGATTAATAAGCTATTTAAAGCTTCTAAAATAGTACTGCATGTCATCCATTACATCTAAAATAGAAAAAGTAAAAAAATTCTGTAATGACCGTGTTTTGGCTGTGTGAAAAATGGGATTTAATTCGAGCTCTTTCTGCTTCCTTGTCACGTGACTTTCCCCACTTCCATATGTGCACACTTGCCTCCTTGCCTGCATACCTCAGGCAGCCCAACCTTCTTCTGGAGGTGATCCAGCGATCGATGAGGCTGCAGCCCACTGAGAGTTTAGAGCATACTAATCGTGATAATGATTGATTGATTTGGGTATCAGCGACAGGAGCTATAGATAGAGGGGCAATGCAGTGTGGAGCTACATTTTAGGGCCTCAATATGTCTTTTAAATGCTCCCAGTGACTATGTAATACTCCACTGTATACTGTATATATGACCTTGCCCGCCTTTCCCCACATATTTGAGATTTAGATGTACTTGCCTGACAGACCTGAGTCTTCCTCGCTGTTCGCGCCGTCCTCGGCAGCCTTCTCCAGGTTGCTGAGGGATTTGCTGCGTGTGCGGAAGTTTCTGAGAAGGTTGCGGTGTTCCTGATAGGTGATGGGGGGGCTCTCTGCACTGATGTGAACGGGCCGAGGCGTGCCGTAGTAATTACCTGAGAGGCCAAAAAAGCATTGCATGTAATTAAAAACAACTGTACAAAATGACGAATGTTGGTCAGCAACATCACACGTTCTGCAATGCTGGTGAGTTGCAATCTGCTATTAGAAATAAAATATTTCCTGTTCAGTTATTCAGCAGCTGACTAACATACTACACGCCTGCATGCCGGTAAATCACGTCTCTCCCGATCACATGTATTGTGTATATTCGGTTTGTTCTGGCCATCTGCTCCAGCTGCTAAAGAAGAAATTCAATTGCCTCCACCCCTCCACTTGGCGCACGGACATCCGAATGGGCCGAGGGGAAACATTAGATTACTGAACTCCACAACAAGGTCACCAGCCGTCACCATTTACTGCGGTTTTCTGCAGGCTACTGCGGGTCTACTGCGCGCACAATGCTGCCGATATGTGTCCGTCAATGTCGCATGGGAGGCAAACTAAGGATGACATCTATTGCCCTTATTAATCTCATAGAAATTATGGACGCTAATGTATGGAAGTTTTATAATCAGAGGCAGCACTGTGATCCTGAGGGGGGATCTGCAGCGTAGATGCCAGCTGAGCACCACCTGATGGCATTAATGGGGGTAAAGCAATGGCAAATGACGACCTCTTTATGATGTATGTAAACCTAATGTGTAAATGCTGGACCAGCTCTGTCCACGTATATCAAAGTGCACTTTCCCTCCGAACGGTCAACGTGTTTTATCTCCGGACGTCCAGCAGCAGATACATTTAGTTAGAGATTAGTCTTGTCCATAGAATGGTCTTAGATTGTAAAGTGGGAATGTTTTGTTATATTCTCCCATAGTTCATGGGACACGTCTAACTTTACCCATAATGCATTCGTTCAATTTAGGTCTATATCAAATCTGACTTATAGCTGGAAAAAAATCAGGACAACGTCTTTGTATATTTATAAGCAATTGGCTCTTGTGAAACCACAACTTGACATTTGAACCCTTGTTTTTGTGTTGAAACATTCTAATCGGCCAATTGAGTCAGTCTCACCTTTGAACTTTCCACTCTCGAGAAGCGCTCCCAACTCCTCCAGGGAGAAGAACTCCTCAATGGTGACAAAGTTGTAGTCTATGCCGGCGATTTCGCCTTCTCTACGCTGTCTGGTTGTACCTAAGAGAGGGAGACAGAAAGAATTATAATGTCATGCATCTGAGCCATGATGGTGGCAACACCGCTAGCTCGAGCCCAGACGACACGTCAATTAATTACAGCCTTTTCCTCTCATCCTGGGTCATAAATCATGCTTAGTGTATAAACGAAACACAACTTGGCAAACTATAAATATCCCAAGCATTGCAGTTTGACAAATTATACAGAGATTGCTGAAAAAGCAACAATCTCATGGATCTATTCCGGTTTTATGATGATAAAAGTGACCTCTTTCATTTAAAAGCATTTGGATCTTAATGTAAAGTCAGTCGCAGGTCAACATCCACCCACAAAACCAAAATTTACCCTTGCAGAGCATAGTGATGACAGTGGATATTTACATGGCCACCTTTATTATGAAGGAATCAATGATGACAGAATTCTATATTAAAAAGACACTGTTAAAGTATTTCTATCACTATTGGAATGATGATTGATGGTCTGTCGTCATTATTGACACTGACCTTGGCCCGCAGTCCAAACCAGGGCACTGAGAGCTTTATTCCAGAATCACTGAGTCTCAATGATTGTTGATGTTTTAGCAAACATCCTCTCACTATTTCATACACGTTCGAGCATGTTGTGTGAAATATGTCACATTTTTTTATGCGACTCGTGAATGGTTTCATTTTTTTTGATAATTAAACCACAGGACGCCCGCTCTGACCTTGAGACAAGCAATTCCTCTCCCAAGACGAAAACCACACCGAGCCCAAACTGAGGACAAATCGGTGTCCTTCTCCTGGAGGAGCGCATGTGATGTCAGTGAGGGGTCGGCAGGAGGGAGTCACACCCAGAAACCCCATAAAACCCGTGATTAATGCACAGCTGTCCTGGGAGCGGCTCTGCCAGGCACGATGACACATGCAAGGACTGCAGAGAACATGCACGCAAATCACACACATAAAACCCACGCTTAACACTCACACAAACTCTGCAGCCAACTCACAATGTAAGATACACAATCAGTGGAGAGCATGAAGCATCTCCATCAGCCTGACCTCTTCTGTCTGTAGCACAAAGTGAGTTTTCTGCACAAAGGATGAGACACTGGCCTCAAATTCTGTTGCTCAACTGTTTTGCTCTGATCACAGGAGCCAATGCAAAGACAACATAGTGGCAAACGTCAATTATTTTATTGTTTTGATTGATAAAAAATGACCATCACTATTTATCTTGAGCTCTAGTTTAGGCTCATTGTTGCTTCCCGGAGAAGCAACGGTTTTCTCCAGAGAAATTTGACCGTCACTTCCCGGCTCATTAGGACGCTGCAGGGCTGATGTGATTGCGCCGTGATTATAGCCCACAACAACTCCACCTGATGATACCGTATAATGAGTTCAATCCACTTTGTGCCACGCTGCAGCGAGGCGGCTGTGTTTGCACCACCAGAATCCTCAAATATCAGGAGAAAAGAATTGTGTCAAATTAAAGAATTGATCATCAATCTAATGGCATCTGGCATGTGTGTACTTCTTCGCCTCCCCTCAGGACACGTTGTATCTCTCCAGCTGATGTGGTGTGAGGCAGGAACTCATTATCTATGCACCTTCCTCGGAAATTTATATGAGATGTTGGCGGGGGGGGACGGAATTGATCTTCTTCTTGTCCCCGTAGGCGCCGCACTCCAATCCTCCCAGGGAGAAGGGGTGAGGTTGGGATTGAAGAGGTAATTACACAGCGCTCGGTATCAACACCCAGAGAGAGAGCTGTCTGTCAAGATCATTGCCCACAAATAGCTAACAAATGATCTCACAGTTGAAAAGGCCGCAGACAGTCTGCCTGACAAATCCGGAGCGGGCACATTAACTAAATGATGATTTTTCTTATCTCTGAGACTCACTCTGAAGACAATTAGAAAAGTCCTTTATGGAGGCGACAGAGAAACACAGACGGCCTTGAAACCCGCGACACTGGCTCTGAATCATCCAAGGGCACGTGTACAAACGGTTTGTACGATTATACAAACATGCATGGGAAAGGTCGGGAGGGTTAATGAGAAGGGCCTAGAGTCGTATATAACGGTTGGACACATGGACACTACATATTTACCTGCTCTCCCAAAAGAATCAGAGTAACCATCCCGTCTGCCTCAGCACGAGCACACAGCGCCCGTAGACTGCAGTCGGGCCCCTCCTCCACTTTGGGGCCGATACAATTTAATTCCCTCTTTAGATTATTGAAACTGTAGCCTGCGTTTACTTAATTTTGTCATTCATTTCCATTTTATGGATTGAGCCTTTGTAATGATATTCATTGCAGTCAGTGGCAGCTCAAACACTAGAGAACATTGCCTCATCAAACGGATTCGGCGACTGACATACTCTTTAAATAGCACAGCGATACGGGGATAATTGTAGCTGAACTTAAAAAAAAAATCTGAGGGCTCATCATTCAGTCTTTGCTTCGTTAAACAGTAATATAACGATCAAAAGGTTTAACTATGCTTCGTGAGCCATCGAGGCGGATTAATTCTTATCTCAGGTCACTTAGATTTGATTAGCGAGGAAATAACAAAAACCACAGCAAAGAGTCTCCTGAGAGAGGAGGAACGTACATGTGATCCTGAAGGGGGCCACAATGAGCCACTGATGAAAACTCCTCCTCCGCATGGAGCACAGCGGCCTCCTCGATTGGAAAACAACAAAATGACAAAGAAATATATATGTACCCGCTCCTGTATATCTACGAGTGGTCCGAGAAAAGAGACGGGAAGGTTTCCGGGCCGTCTCGGGTATCGAGCGAGTGTCCGTGGGTTCAGAATCAGCACGAGAACAACGGCATCTTGCCGGGACATCTCCAGCAGATCAGAGGATTAAACACCCGCTGGGCTGAGCCCGCCTTGCTGTCACTCAAAAGACAAAACTCAAAGATGGGAAGTAGTTCTCAAAGGTGGGCAGGAAAAGGCCGGACAATTACAGCATGGACCCAGGACGCACAGTGTATTCAGCAAACACCCACTTACACGTTTTTATAAACGGTTAAATGCCAACCCTCTTAAATGTGAAATGGCTAAATGGACATTTGTTTGGACAATTAACTCCCTGCGCAGCTGCTTCGAGATGCACACGCGCAGGGGCCGAGTAACGCAAAGCTTCATGGCATCGAAGCTGCGATTTTAACACAACACAAATATGCATGTCACACGTGAAGAGGAATAGTTTTTTTAATTTTTTTATTTATCTTATTCTAGCAGCGGGTGGGTCGTGTGTCATGGTGGCAGACCGTCCCACATGACCTACTTCCCGGACTAAAGGAGAGATTAGCAACAACCACGCGGCTGCACAAGGTTAAGACTGCGAACACACACAAGGTGGTCCGTCTCCTGCGTACCACCACCTGCGCAGGAAGATAAAAAAACACGAAACACAACGGCGCCGGACCTGAAATTACATCAGAAGCGTAGATCTGTTCTCAGAAAAGCCCTGCGACGGCTGCTCTATCCTCTTGCGCTCTCCAGTGACGTCACACTACAGAGGATTAAGACAGCAACAGATGTACTACAACTAGCTGCCTTTGGCTGCCATTGTGCTCGATGCATAAGCATCAGCATGAAACTGCCGGTGTGGAGTAGACTATGGGCCTCTTTTTTGAGCGGATGATACAGAAGCTGCGCTGATAAAAATAACCTGTCAAATACAATAACCATCACATTTAATACCGTCTTACCACCACCCAAACAAAGTAATAGGCTGGAGCTCAAGGGTCAGGATTTGCAAAGGGGGGGCTGCCATTTAGGATAAACCCGGTCGCCATACAGAGTGTTGCTATGGAAATGTCCAAACGGGTTGCACATTTATTCTTCTGTCTCACTTCGTAAAACGTGTCAATTATTTTACAGTTCTGCTTGCATACAGTAGCAACATTGAAGGGTGGGAAACGGATCTGTGGGCCAATTAACACCAAGTTATTCACATATAGGCAACAACATGATGTGATGATCAAAATGAATGAAGCCCGGAACTTCAGTATTTTTTCAGCCAGGACTGTTTTTTTTATAGTGCCGACCATTTAAAAATAAATGATCCACTCCACTAGGCTCATGGAAAGGATTTTACAAATTTATGTTTTTTACTTTTTGCTTGTTTGTTTGTCTTTTTGTAGTTGCTCCACATCCACATGTCAAAGTTAGCTAAATATTTAGCCACGACACCAAAAATCTTTTAGATAGCACTAAGTCGTGGTTTCTGTTCTCCAACACAATAAACTCTATAACAAACAGAAAGCAAAGGGTAAGAAAGATTCATCACTCTGTGGCAAAAACTAATATCGCAGCTGCCCGTTTAGTGGCTGCTATCTGCAGAAATTCTTATCTCCATTAGTCACTTTGACACACTGAGACACGGGAAATATGGTCCAGGTTGAAAAATACCAAACCTTCCCCTTTAAGCGAGATGTGCCTGGATGGATCAATATGATGAGAATGATACAAATGTACTTTAATATTTGTCTTAAACGTGAAACATGAAACATGAAATTGATTTGCACGGGAGACTCAAAGCACGTACTGATATACAACATACAAACACAGCGCATATAGAGAGAAACAGGGTTTTGAAGGCAGGGATAAAAGCAGCAAATGGGACTCACAGGGCACCGCCCGGAGGTAGAGGTTCTCTCGGATGACCTGCTGAAGTTGGCTGTCCACTGAACCGGGCGTGAAACACTTGCTCAGAAACAACCTGAGGTCCTTGCACAATGTGGAGCCTGAGGGAAGTGAGGAACAAGCAGAGAGAGAGAGAGAGAGAGAGAGAGAAAGAGAGAGAAGGTAGGGTGAGGGGGGGGGAGGAGGAGAGGGGAGGCATTAAGAAATCAGCTCAGTAAGCACAAGCACAGGAGTCTATTTTAATCTCTACTTGATTTAACACTACCATTTAACAACCCAGGCTTCCGCGTTCACGCCTACTGATCTGACATCACCCCGCGTAGATCCTGCACGTGAAGTGTGTTTCACCCGACGCCCCGCGCGCACACATGGACAACCTGTGGGTCAATGCCTGTCGACGCAACAGTTGAGGCTGTCAGCGGGGCAAAGCGTCCTCCATCTTTTCCCTCAATATCGTCTCAAGTGCTTTACGGGCCCCTGGTGACGGGTCACTTGGCGTTATGGATCGTGGGGGCCGGGAGCGGCTCGGGCGTGACAGACGACCGCTCCGTCGGTGCTTCCCTTCCAGGCCGACGCCCAGCTATCCACCCTCCCCTCGCCCCCGCCTTCTGCTACAGCGGCTCTGCCCAGAAGCAACCTGGATAGCGTGGCTATTAAAAACGTCACAGCGGTATAACTTTATCGCTGGAGGCAGTCATCTGCACGCACACAGGACTGAACCTTCGCCAGCTGCCTCTTTAGGGAACACGATGGGCTTTTTGTTCATTGTGTTTTGAAACAGCTGCTGTTGAAGTGCAAAATTCAGATCTCACCATCATTTCATGCTGCCATCGACGCAAAGGAGATGGTTGTCACGGTTAAAATAATACCAAAGAAAAGCTATTCGGGTGACGCCGAAACCACCGAAGGAAACTTGTCAAATCACTAAATGTGATGGACCAATGGTATTACTACTTTTTGACCGCATAGTACCAGTATTAGCGTAGTAATACTGCTCTCTGGGGAGTGCAGCCTCGCGTCTTGTATTTGAGAGCGAGTTGTAGCAAAGGGTGGGAGGAGGTCTGCCACAGCGGCGCGCCACATCACCTCATCCATCACTGCCCGCGCGACGCGCAATCAAGCTGCCCGGCGGACCGGCTTCGGGAAATGATAATGGATCCACCAGCCAGCAGAGGAACCGGGATCAGAGGTCCCCATTTACACCCTGCGGCCGAGTCAGCCATCAATCAGGCAAGCGAGGCCATCAGCGGCGGCGTTCAGGTGACACTCCGGTGACATACTGCACCGCTCAGCGCCAACAAAGACATCCGTTCCCCCGGCCTTGCGCTCTACGCGCCAAGGCCTCCCGCCGGTGACAGACAACTTTATCGCCACACTCTTGTCACGTGTCATCGGGGAGGTTTTGACCTGCTGCCCACATATTGACCGATCGCCTTGACATATGCCAGACTGATTGACGAGGGCCAAGCCGCGTCAGAATGCCACAGGCTGCAGATTTGGCGTGTAGGAGTCGGCTGAGGGTTATTGAGTAACAATGTTTTGGATGACAGCTCGGACGCCAGTGCGGCGGATTTTTGGGTGCAGTCCGATGAGGTGTAGGAGCAATCGAGCAAAACACAAACAGCAATAGGGAGGGAAGATTTTCGGCACTGTTACGGGAGACGTGTAATAATTAAATGGCATTAGCAGAGCGAGAGGCCGTGGGAATGATTACTCCTCCATCAAAACAATAGTCGTACCTGGTGACACGGTTTTGGCGCGGATCGGATGAGGGCAGGAGTTGAGGACGCCGCGGACGTCTCCCAATGTCATCCCCAACACCGGTGTTCCCCCAATCTCTAGGATGATGTCCCCCACTGTGAGTCCGCCGCCCGGAGCCGACGTGACAAAAGGAAACTCTCCGAAATCTGCTCCTCCGCCGATGGCGACGCCCGGCTCCCCCGACGGGTCGAGCAAGGGGACGAAGGTGTCCAGCACCTTGGACCGCCAGTGCAGCTTCCTCACGGCTGTCTTGGACATGGCGAAGGAGCTGTGGAGGGAAGCAAACAGGAGTGAAAGTGTCAGTTGCAAAACGACCTCCGGGGCAATATCCTCTGGCCTCGTCCTCTGTTTAACCTTTATCAGCTGTCGACGTCTGAGGTCTGGGGAGTCGTGTTCGGATTGAGCAAAGGGCGTGAATAATTCCTGCCGAACGGGTGATAATGTTTTCACTGGGGCTCCGTTTTATGCAAACATCCCACAGCGCGGTCCAGCCAAAACAAACAGGGAGACGCTCCCCCATGTCGATTGCGCTCGCTGCAGGATGACGTTAAGTTTCCATGTTAACACACAACATAGGAATTAGCGCACATACCAGCACATCATCAGTCATGTGGGAAGAATCTAGTGATTTTCGACACGTGAGCAAAGGTGAGCTGCAGTCAACCGCCTCAGTGCTCTCTGCGTCTACGGTGCACGGTGCTCTCAAACAAATACAGGTTGCCATTGATTTTTCTGGACGGGGAAGAATTACCCCGTTGGTTTTCTCCAGGAAGGATTTCTTCTCTCATTTGCTGGATTCGTTTCACAGCAGCGTGTTACCTGGGGAGCTGCTGTGCGTCTGGGTGTGTGTGTGTGTGTGTGTGTGCGCGTGTGGGCCGAGGATGTACAGCTGAGGTGGCAAAGATTTGTTTGAGTCGACAGCGGCTTGACATCTGTGATGTCCGAGGAGAGGGGACAACGCTCCTCTGACATCATCAGAGCTGCGCGCCGTCACCCCGTCAAGGTGACCGAGGTGGGGTAGCAGCACCCAAAAGACCTTGTATCAAGTTAGTATGATGACATTTTGGAATATATTATAGTTTGCTTTTCGCGAGTTAGATGAGAAGAGTGATGCCATTCTCGTGGCTTTCAGTTGAAGCTGGAACCCAGAGACTGTTAACTTAGCTTAGCATTAAACATGGCCAGGACAACATATCACCCAATAAAAATATGTATTTTCCCAAACTATTCCTTACTTAGCTTAGCTTACTCCGCAGCACCTGCACTGACTGGCACAAACTTGCTCGAATGCAATATTCCTAATGGACAATCCTGATCTCCACCTCCGTTGTGGGCAGGAGATTAGCAATTACACATCACTTCCCCAAGATCCAATCCTCTTAACAACTGTGTGACTGTGACGACTCTCGGCAGGGCGCGGGTAAAACGCCAGAGGCTTCCCTTTGTGCAACACCGTGCCCGGCCTTAGCAGGGGGGGTGGAGGGAAGGGGGGGGACCCCGGGTCCTTCGGTCTAGCAGGCCTAATGGGAATGAGTGAGAGAAGGACAGGATATCATAACTAATCCTCTTTACACTTGACTGCTCATTTAGATCGGACAGGGATCCTCTTCATCCAGCCTTTCTCGTACTACTGAAGGGGGTAAAGAAGGGGGGGGGTCCCTGGTGGCTTTTTGTATACACAGACAGAGAAATGAGGTAGAGGAAGGCAGGGAGAAGCCTGAAACAGGGTGAGATTGACGTGTGTATCTTAGATGGCTGGTGTGTGTTGTCCTTTGGATGGAGATCAAGCGGCACCACCCAGCCCGAGGTTGGCATACGGCTCACTTGTTTGACCTTGAAGGGACTTCAGCTCAGGCGACAGCCAGAGTTTGGGAAACGGTTGAGCTGGTTCATTCACCGAGAGCCCCAAAATAACGCAAAACTTGCATTTCAGTCTCGTTCAGCCCATTTGAACAAAACACGACGAAACAAGTTTAGTGCTGTCTGGGCCGCCATGTTTCAACCCCCCCCTCTCCCCCCCACTGTGAAACCTTCTGCAGCTACACGGTCAACCTGCTTCTCCACCCACACAGAAGACCCGGTCATGCAGTTTGCCTTCAGTGTGTCGTGAGATGAGAATAAAAACCAAAAGGGTCGAATTTTTCCATCTCATCATGCGCAGTGATTTCCCATGTGCGAATTATTCTATAAGCCGCTAGTCTCTTTATGCTTTATCTCAAGATATCTCAGCAGTCGGTCGTAATGATTTAAGCGCTTCGAATAAAACAACTGATAAGTCTGGGTTGTAACCCTGTGCTGTCACAATGTGCCTCTGCTTCACACGGATGGACACGGTGGGTTGTCTTCCCCCCCCCCTCCACCCTCCCTCCACCCACCCTGCGTCTGACGGGGGTTTAACGAGCCGCAGCCTGTCAGGTCCGCTGGAGCCTGGACCCGTCCCGCCGCAGACACACAACCTGACACCGCCCTGACACCGCTCCCCTCCGCTGCTGCTGGTGTTGGTGCTACAGACGGGCCGCCGCGCGCTCATCTCACTGAGCGCACTTTTAACACGCAGCCGAGGTCGCCATTAATAAGCCCGGGAAAGTTGAGGAGAACACATGTAAGGGATGTCATCCAATTGTTGATGAGATATTTCACAAAACATACATGGACCTTAAGGTGGCCAAAGAGAAGGAGTAAGAGGATGGTGCAAGAGCAGGATTCATCATCTACGAACCACGATTGTCTGCGAAACGTCCGTTATTGCGATCCAATAAGCCGTGATATGAGCATGGCTAAAAAAAGCACAATCATGACTCCGGAGGAGTTATATAAAGCCAACAGCAAAGCTATTAGACTTAGAGAAGGTTGGTTTCATGGATATGTAGCCCTATAAGACGAATGGTCTATTGAGATTTCTGACCTTTAGGTCAGGAAATAGCTGACAAACACATATCTTGTTTCACCGACTTCCTCTTCAGCGGTGACCTGCTCTGGAGTTCTACGGCCTTCCAGTGTAATTTCAAACCACAGCAATCCGTCAATAGCAAAACACACATCCTCTTCATTCCGAGGTCTATTCTTGGGAGTTTTTTATTTTTTATTTATTTACAGTGTTTGTTTGAATCACAATGCGTAAAGGAAATGCTCAAGGCTATAATGAGTCATTGTGTAGGAATTAACAGCTGCCCCGTACTGTGTTTTCTCTTTGAATGCGCCTTTTAGCCCCGAGTTATAGAAATACTCGCTTGTGGCGCCCAGAGGAAATTCATTGTTTGAAGTTAATTAACAATAATTACATTTTCCTTTAAAAGAGAGACAAACTGGACTTCAAGCTTCGTCCCACCAAACTTAACGTGCCAGTTGTTGCATTGCAATAGTACCTTAGTCCGTAACAAAACATGACAGGAGAAACTGAGTACGCTCTTACTCTAGGTTGGATCTGGTTTTAAATGTATTAAAGATATGAACTTTGCCTTAGAGCTCAATATCTCAAAGTCAACTTGAAGCAGCAAATCACGGACATGCGGGAAAAGCATTTGACTTTGGGCAAATAGCGTCTCGGAAGACCTTCGGAAACTAAAGGGCACGGGAAAAACACATCAATTAAGACGGGTGAATAATTGAATTGCTCTGGTGGACATTGACCGTGTCAAAGCGAAGACGAAGAAGAAACAACAGAAACTTGTCTCGACAGATGTATCCAGAAGGTCCAACGTGCACACACACCTCTATTTGAAACTGCATTTGAACACAACTGCGCGACTTTGCCCTTCATTTCCGGAGCTCAACACCTATCAAACAGCCCCCTCCGTATCAGCGGCACCAGCGAGGCTTTGTGGGGAAAGCAGTGACTGTCAGCTCTCGTGATTCTCCTCGTGTTCCTGATGTCTATCTAGGTGCCGGCCCTCATCCCAATCAAAGCCGTCTCACAGCTGGTAGCTCGTTCTCTGACATAATCGGCTTTGACCGCAGCAGAGTTAGTTCAACTTCTGCAAACTTTTTCACACGACCCGCTTTTGCCGTGAGATGTTGTTGTAATTCGGCTCTTGGTCTGAACTGTAAACGTTCATGTGACTGAACAGCATTCATGAGCTACATGAGCGGCGGAGTGGCTCTAAGCTCATAAAAGCTTCTGTTGGTTTGACTTGCTGGAGCCGTTGTTTCCTCTCTTAAGGTTTACACTCCGAATGAGGTCTGAAAGTAGTATGATTTTATGTAGGCTTATTTGGTATTTTATGCATGTTTACGGAGATAATAGTTCTCTTTCCTAAATGAGAATTTGTGAGAATATTGATGGAGCAACTGTGTGTTTTTGTCAGCCAGAATGTGACCAGCATGCCTAATGGCTCCATTCAAGGTTCGTTGGGAGTCTGAGTAAGGCAGACAAAAAGCTTGACTGATATACATATTAAAGTGGCCACATGCACTGTTGCTGCATTATGAAAGGTACTTTAAGAGAGCAACCAACAGTCAACAGTACACAGCAGTCAATGTGAATAATATAGCACATATAATATATATATATACACACATATATATTTGGGCTGTCAATATAATTAACTAAAAAAAAAAAAGTAACTAATTAACTGCACATTTTGAAATTCATTAATCTCGATTAATGCCGATAAATTAATTTTGTTGTTGTCACAATGCTGTTTTTAATGAATGTTTGTTTTTCTTCTAAAGACTACAACTCAAAAGTAGTGAGTAATCGCGTTAGAAAGTGTGTATTTTAGACACAGTTTTCCTGCTGTCCTCGTGCACTTTGCTCTCAACTCTCCATCATTTCACGGCTGTGTTTGAAGTGCCAACAATCTCCCCACATTTAGCCAGAACGTTTTCAAACCACGTCTTTTAGGGACACAGTGGTGGTCCTCTGCACACTGTGTGCCGCGCAGGGTAACGTTAGATGTGGAGATGGAAGTAGCCTAGCAGCTAGCTTAGCATAGCAGTCCGTTTGCCACTCACCCCCCTTCTGTTTGACACGTGGATGAATTCCTCTGCACAGTTCTCCGCTGTATGCCGGGCCTCTGTTTGTTTTTACATCCCATGCAAATAGCTCTCTCCATCTTGATGTAACTAGCAGTCAACTTCCAGTTTCCGGAAGTAAACAAACGTACGTTAAAATATTAATCTTGGCCACATTAATCGCATAGATTAACGCGTTTATCTTGACAATATATATAAAAATCACTACAGTAACAGTGATTTTATCACACACTGATTTGTTGATCCATATATCTACTAAAAATGGTGCTTTTGATAATCAAGTTATCATTCATAAAGGAAAACTAACGTTTCAATTATTTTCTGATCTTCCTTCGTAATTTTATTTGTGTATTGATATTGATTATTGATCAACATCAATTAATGCAATCTATTTCAAATGTTCTTTTGACTCCTCAGACATCAAACACTCATGCTCAAACTTGGCAAGTTGCCTGTTTGATCTGTTTCAGTTAAAATTTAATGTTATCAGAAAAGCTATTTAATGATTATTTCCTTTTTTTTGGACTAAACGATTAATCGATTAATAGGAAAATAATCGATGATTGAATTATAATGTGTTTTGAAGCCATGGGTGACAATTTCACACATTTCCACCAATGACATCAGAGATTGCATAATGAATTGGACTATCTGAGTTAGTTACAATGCAGGTATTTCGTGGCAGTTGCAGGACAAAATAAACCCTAAACTTGAACACATCCATCTTTAGCTCAATCACAACTGTCTTCTTCTTTGTGGAGCAGCGGACAAACGGAAACGGACGTTCTCGCTGCCGCGGCGTCTTACGTGACATCTGTGTCCTGACCTCTCCCGCCCAACATTTACACCGAACTCCACTCCGCCCTGATGCTCACTCACTTCCAAATCTAGGGCACGGGAGTGCTCAACACAAAACAGACAGCAGCGGCAGATTTAAAAATAAAAGATTAAATGCTTGTGGGTTGAAAAAAATAAAAAAAGAACAAAATATCTCTCTCGGCCGTACGGGGCGACGTACTAGACACTCACAGAGACAACTTTCTCCCTCTCTCAATATAAACTCAATACAGGAGGAAGCTGGTAACGTGGAATGAAAAGGACATCCCTTGTTCTCTGCACGCCACCAACAAATCCACAATCTACTCCAGCGTGTGATTTCGTTACAGCTGCTCCTGCGTCAACTACATGCAAAAGGGACTTAGCGTAAGATTAAAACATTGTTGAGCATTGGAGCGACACGCAGACACACACACACACTAGATAAAACCCGAGATAAAACAGGCCCGGTGATGTTCCCTTTGAGGGGGGGGGTATCTTGTCACAGGATCAAGGTCGAGGCAGGGGTGCTGTTAGCGGGGCGTGTTGTGTACATTGGACACCACTGAAAGACAACAGGTCGCTCAATCGGCCAGGACGCGTTACACCCCTCACTGCGACCAGAGACGCTGGCCCCCGTCAGCAGGGGAGAGAGCGGTTTAATTAAACGAGGCAAATCAGCTTTTCAACAATGATGATGGATAAGAGAGTAAGAAATGGGAAAAGCTAAAGGGTGGGGAAGGGGGGGGGGGGAGCTTTGAAGAAAAATGGAGTAAAACAGTAGAATCAAGACACGCGGTGTGCAGAGCAACCTTATGAAACAGTGGCTGAAATCCTAATAACAGAATGGATTATTCATGAAGAAGTGAAAGGGAGGTACAGTTCACTATAATGAGCGTTTTTGTGAGGTCGCCGTTTGGTAACCTAAGCAGGCCTTCAGAGTGTGCCTGCGTGTGTGTGTGTGTGTGTGTTTGTGAGATCCTGCTGATTCAGTAGGGACGGGTGAAGGTGACCCTCGCCTGCTCCTGCGGCCTGTCTCACCACCTGATATTGATCCCAGTTGTCCCACTCCGACGCGACTCAAGGAGACGCGGATTCATTGCAGTCTTGACATTTCAAATATGACAACGTGTGAATCGTAACTCCGCGAACTGTCATTGATTGGTTATTGATTGCCCCCCTCCCTCGGTCGGAGTCCAACCACTTAACGGCGTCTCGTCCGATTCCCAAATTGAATCTCGATGTAAAGAGGCAGGGACACGAGCTGTTGTTGAAATGTCATATCGGACTCCACACGTTGGGAACTAAGAATAGAGCGGGCTACAACCGCAGAATCCAAATGTAGTGGCTGGGAGCAAAGGTTTGGACCACAGATGGGAGAATACGCCTGCGTAGCCCTGCCCTGTCAAGGGTAAACTGCCTTGCGTACACACACACACACACACACACACACACACACACACTCTCTCGCACTCACACGCACACACACGCACACCCTGTTTTTACCACACCTTGAGACAGCAGCATTAATATGCATGATGCCGAAGGACACAGGAGGTCCATAATTAGACAATCAACAACTCCCGGGTGACGTGCGTTACTACGGCAGGAGGAGGAACGCACGCCGCTTCGTCCTGAGAGCGCAGTCGTGTTCGTTTGTCGACACGCATTTGCACTTACCGGTGGTTCAAATACCGGTGGTTCAAACTTAGGGCTTAGGACTAGACTCGAAAAGGGGGACGAGCGCAGAGTGAAACCATAAAGGCTGAGTAACGGTGTCGAGGCCCAGAGCAGCACGAGAGCATGTGGGGAAAAGTCTCACGGCGCACGTCTCTCCTCAATGGCTCGCTACTAACGAACGATTCGAATAAGTAAAACATCCATCACTTCTAAACGGGTGCCTCGTATTGAGCAGGGACACACCCTGAAACAACAGCAACAACACACACAAACAGCTGCACGGCACACGCATGCTTGCACATATATAAGAACTAAGAAGTACATTTGGTGAGTCAGTATATTTGTCAGTCAGGTGCAATGAACATGGGCTTGTGTTTGCATGTGATAAAAAAGTAAAAACAAAAATAAACACAGGTCTCAAAAAACTTTCCAAATCCTAATTATGATGTCACACACACGCCTGCTGTTAAAGGAGAAGTTCACGTCAAAAGGATTCTTATCTGCCAGCATCATCACAAACCCACATCATTCTTACACACACAGTTTACATGCACACACCTTCTCTCTCTCTCTCTCTCTCTCTCTCTCTCTCTCTCTCTCTCACACACACACACACACACACACACACACACACAAACACACTGGGGTTACACTCAACACATTCTCATATTTCTCATATTTAGGGAAAATACTGACCTGCCTTGGCGCTGACACACACACATCCTTTTCAAGCAGTTCAGCCTTTCAAAGAGGATCCGTTTGAACGCGTCTATATACATCGACCCGGCTGAGGTTAAATAATAGGACTTAAAATGAACACGAGCTGTGTGATTACAGAAAAAAAGGGGAAGTAAATAAAAAGCAGTGTGGGAATGCAGTGATGTGCTACCGCCTTATCCCAGAGAGAGTCAGGGGCGATGTGCGCGGCTGACGGGATATTTGGACAGTGATGCTCGGAGAGCCGCGGTGATCTTGTAGAGAGAGAAGAGAGAGAGAGAGAGAGAGAGAGAGAGAGAGAGAGAGAGAGAGGGGGAATATTCACATGCAGACACACACACACACACACACAAACACACACACTGGCACGCGCTGTCTGGCAAATCTAATAGCGGCCGCTTAGAAATTTAGCAGCGGATAAAAAAAAACGCGGAGGATGAATAAATGAGGAAAGCGTGCAGTTTAACTTAACGAGGAGGGGCAATAAGTGATGGACTTTCTTACCTTTCATGTTCGCTTTCTCCTCCTCTAATCCATCCTTCTAGTCTTCGCTTGGCAGATATACGTGCGGGTCATTTCAAATGACCGATACATCGTTTTGATTTTATTGCGGCGATCCAAAAAATAACAAATAAGAAAAAGGTAAACGTCGCTGCACGGTCGGATAGACCGGGTGGAGGTGTCATTGGAGGGCAGGCGCGGTGCCTTCAGGGCGCGCGGCGGCGGATCAGATTGGACTATAGGTGACGGCAGGTGAAGGACGTGTGCTCGGGTTGGTGATATTACAGCTTCCAGAAAGGGCCCTTAGAAAGGAAAGTTGTGACGGTTAAAGGGAAATTAGAAGGTTATATGTGGGGAAGTTAAGTAGCGCGGAGGGGAGGGAATAAAAGAGTTAAGGGTACCGCCCCTTTTTTATTCCCACACGGTGCACCTGCATCAGCAGCCTCACTTTTTGCTTACGGGCCATAACAAGGTCTTAAAGGCGTGAGAACCGCCTGAAGACGGTTTCTGCATTCGGTTATGTTGAATTCTACTTGGTCATATAGTCACAAATCTTACATTTTAAAGGCTGCTAGTTTAGTTCAGATTAAACTTGAATGAACACAACCCATATGAGCCCTAACACATTTTATTTTATTTTTTTATAACACACCCAGGATTTATTTTTAAAAGGAATACGGCCCATAAACGAATGAAAAATGCCCAAGCATTTTCTAAATGAACAAAAGACCAAATTCAGCAAGAAATTTTAAAGTTATTATTCACACCGCATTGCATTTATTGTTTTAACAAATTCAAACGTGTCATATATATAATGTATGCAGCAACCTAGACAGCACTGCTCACTTTCCTTATTATCACATTATGTATCTGAACCAGTAACCAATTTTGATGCATTGTGGGAATTAAAGTATTTCTCTCAGACCTAAAGCAAACGCTTCTAGACAAATAGAACTACAACTACCAGAACCGCTTTCTCTTATTTCTGTTAGAGACAAACAATGATGGCGTCGCTCGGGGAAGATACGGGTTCCCCCAAGTCTGCTCCTCCTGGGGACGATGAAGAGAGAAAACCCATGGCCGTGTCCTTTGGTTTTACTAAAACAGTTAACAAATTCAAACCATCGACTGGCGAGTTTAGAAAAGATGACAGAGATTATTTGACCGGAATTGATGGCAAAGAATTGCAAAGGTAGGCTTCGTATGCTAATGCTAACTAGCATACCGGTACCATTTATAATACACATATTAGCATTAGCACAACGGTGAACGGCTAGGTTCCCATTCTAATAGCCAACCGTTAACTTATGATACATTGTGGGCAAATGTGAAGTAAATATAAACGTTAAACAGTAACTAAACATTGTTTTAAAGTGGCCCTGACTGCCGCAGCTACCTCGCCAACGTTAACATCCCTGTGCTGCAGTACAAAACCCTCGGAGAAGCCCAAAGAGCTCATCATCCCTCTGATCCAGAAGAACCGCTGGCACCGACCGGACCAAGCGGTCCAGGCCGAGACCAGGGCCGTCAAAACACCAAAAAACACCGAAGACAATGACTCTGTGGAATCCCAGGCTGTCAAGGAGCTCATTGAAGGTATATACATTGAACTAGAATATACGTGTGTGTATATATATTGTGTGTGTGCACCTGCTTGTTGGGAATGCCGAGGTCATCCTAACCTCTCGCACTAAACTCATTTGGCCTCTGTGATCCGGGCTTGCAGACTCACGGAGGCAGCTGGAGGAGTGGCAAAACGGCTCCCAGTCAGAAATCAACCCGAACCTCGCCATACCCCTGTTGATGCAGAACAAAGTGCCCGACGGCTTCGAGGATGGTGACCGCGTAAAGGTGGATCTACGACCTGAATCTGTAAGTATGGATACCGGCTGTGGGACAGAAACGCTATCTGATCCTTTTCCTAAAACCCTGTATAGGAAGACACGTGTTGGAAACAGTGTTCGTACGGTTTTCTCTTTGCTGCTTTGTTATTTCTGTATAATCACTCCAGGATCTTTCCATTGCAACTATATAGCAAAGTCTGGGAGCAAAAACGATGTAGAGTATTTCAATATATGCTTTATTTTTAAGTGCTAAGTGAAATGAATTATATAAAGAGATCAGGGAGATTTGCTTCAAGGTTTTAACAGAATAATACATTCAATAAGGTGTTGAACTAATGATCGTATATACTTTTATTTGATTAAGCTTTCTGCTGTTGACAGCTACAGTTTGCATAATAGTTGGTTGAATAGTAAATGACTTGTATGTCCTCAGTTAAATGTTAATTTCTTCTGGTGTCAGATGTGAAGATCACAATACAAACTGCTAGGGAAGCATTTCAGTGAGCACAGGAAAACACTTGACAGTACAACAAAAAAATGGTGGACTGGCTACTTTGACTGTGATTGAAATTTGAGTATGTGAAAGTGCTGACGGTCTAAACCCCCCCCTCCCTCATGTGCATCCACAGTTGTGCGCATGCGTACCGATACGGCTAACTTTGTCAGTTCGGTAAACCTTGGGTGGCTGACAGGCGTCAACATTCTCCCCAGAGATACGCGCAGGCAACCAATCAGATGTCTTGTTGTTTTCATCGGAGGCCTCACCAGCCTCGTCACTGTCAGCCCTCAATCACCGCCGATGTGACTGTCAGAACGTGGGGAGTCAGGGGAAACGTGCTCGCTGCGCCCCCCCCAGAGCTCACTTTAAATGCGGCCTGCTCTGCCAGTGCGGACTTTCAGCTCCCCCCTCAGAGGGAAGCCTTCTGTGAAGGGAAGAGATGAGCCGGGCCGGGCCGTCGCTCCGATGGGGGGGGGGGGGGGGGGCGCTGCCTGGTGACTCCAGTCGCTGAGTCTGACAGCCCGGAGCCAAAAGGCTGAGCAAGACTAGCATTCAAAACCGCTTCGCCCTGTCAGTCGCCACAGCAGCTTCTTTTTGTGTTTCTGAATTCAAAGATTACATAAGCACCTTGTTTAGCTCCGCTGCACACATCAATGCAGGCAGCGGTGTCTGGTTGTTTGAGCATTCAATGTATTTATCTTCAAAAAGATGATATGATGTGTGTTCGTCAGTCGACAGAGGCCGACTATGAGAGCATTCCTGTTGAGGCTTATGGACTCGCTATGATTAAAGGGATGGGCTGGAATAAAGAGGAAGGCATCGGACGCACCTTTAAACAGTGAGTAAAACAAGCGCTTTACTTTAACGTTGAATCAAGCGAAATATTCCCACGTCTTTAGGTTCAGCTTCTTAAATGTGAGGATTTGCTTCTTTTCTTAGTTGTATATATTTATAAACTGAATATATTTAGTTTAGTAATTTGGACCAAACAATATATTTTATTTAGATGGCACAAGTGAGCTCTTAGCATTTCCTACTGACAATTAGAAATTAACATTGAATCAATCTCAAACATTAACCTGCTATCATTTTCTAGACTACAATTGTATAAAGAATGTATAGTAAATTATTATTTTCACGAGAAGCAATTGACAGGATCACACTTCTCTCTGTCCTCGAGTGGCCTCAGATAGAGGCTGACTAGCTTAGTGCTCCTCCAGCCTCTTTTACGTCGTCCATCTTTTCCTTCATCCATTTGGTTCTGTTGTTCCCCATCTACTCAAGACACGTGACGCCGATCGAACACGAGCTCCGTCCGAAGGGTTTGGGTCTCGGAGCCGATCGTTCAGCAATAAAGGACCTGGAGCCCACTAGGCACAAGCGTCCCCCCAAGCCCGGCGAGGAGCGAGAGAAGGAGGAGGAGCTGGTGATGGGTCCAGGCGGGTGCATTCTGGTGGAGTCGGGGGCGCATAAAGACATGTATGGCAAGGTAGCGTTGACTGAAATGTGTTGAATCCCGAAACCTAAAACAGGCAAACGTAGAACAACCCGTTTTACTTTCTACGTATTGTTTCCTCTGAGTAATTTGTCCAAACCTTCACGCACGTGCTGCAGATCGAAGGCGTCGATGCCGACAACGCCCGAGTTGTGGTGAAGCTGGCCATCGGCGGCAGGTCTGCGACAATCAGCCAGTACGCTATCAAACTGGTCGGCCGCAAGGAGTACGACAAGAACGGCAAAGACCTCAGTGAGTAACTCAACGGGGGAAACGGAAATGATCTAGAGGCTGGCAGACCGGTTATAGGTTTTGTGTTCGAAGTAAATTATATTTCCTGAGATCAGTTTGCGTTTTGGATTATACTAGTATATGTTGACAACCAAGTGTCATACAAATGATTTTTCAAGCGAAAATGTCCGAAGCCTCGCTCGCTGTTACTCCTTAAATAGGGATATTTGCTTGTTTTCAGTCTTCTATGTCAGCAAATGAAATCCTTTTTTTGTTTTTTTTGGGCAAAGAAAACGTAAATGTTGCCGTGGGCTTCGCGAAAGTATTGATGGGAGTTTGTCTATTTTCTATTTCTATTCTCCTGTCATCAAACAATAATTGAGAAAAGTGCCGGATCAAATAATGAATCCATTAGTTAGTTGAAGTATTAAAAAATAAACACAAGTCAGCGATTCGGGCCAAAGCTCATATTTCTGTATTCTACGGGTCATACTTTCCCATATTTAACTTAACTGCATGCTAACCAGTTTTGTTTCCCCATAACTAGCTCGCCTCAGTCGAGCCCACAAGGAGAAGGAGAAGGAAAGGGAGCGACGGGAGGAGAAAGTGAAGCAAAGTAACGGTGACGAGGTGAAAGACAAGTCTTCAGAAAGAGAGCGAGGAAAAGATGAGAGGAAGAGGAAACACCGAGAATCAAGTCAAGACAGGTAGGGTACCTGTCCAGCCCAAGATGAATACAAGCTTTTTGTTTCTTTTATTTGTTATTGAACATTTTATTTCACACATGTCACCACACTGCATTATTTCTCATTTCCATTCGTTGGTTAATGCTTTGTCCACATCTTCTTTTTTGAGTAAATATGCCTTTCCACCTTAGAGAGAAACCTCCGGTGAAAGAGGCCCGGCGGAAACCGGCTCCGCCCTCGTGGCTCCAGAGGGACCTGAAAGTTCGCTTTATAGACAAAGCTTTCAAAGGGGGCAAATACTACAACTCAAAGGTTTTTAATGCACCACCCACATATTGTATTTTAGAATATCTTGGTATCAACTTACTCAAGGCTCCTTTGGCTTGTGGAATTCTGTAGAAGTTATCTTGTTTGGAAATGATGAACCTCACCAGGCTTTTTTTAACACAGGTTTTAGTTATTTTTTGATTAAAATACTGATTGTCTATAGAAAAATGCCTCAGTATATTTAGCTGTAGTGTTGAAATAACACATGTTGGGTCTCCATCATGTTCTAGATGCGCGTGGAGGACGTCCTGTCACCGACTATGTGCGTGTGTCGAACTGAGGAGGGGAGACTGTTAGACGGTGAGTCTTCGGTGTCCCCTCAGTGACATTTAATATCTTCATGGTTGAAAAGCTGACCGCTATTCCAACAGTAGCTACCTCAATAGTCTTTTAATCGTCTTACAAACTCACGGCTCTTTATTTTCGATGGCAGATGTGAAACAGAACATGCTGGAAACCATTATTCCTAAAAGTGAAGATGATCCCATCATGGTGGTGCTGGGCGAGCACAGAGGACAGGTGAGCAGAGGATCGCGTCTCCTGCAGGACTCGTGCAGGCGGTGGTCACGCCGTTGCTAAGCGGCATGTGGTTGTGTGTTCAGGTCGGCCGTATTCTCCAACGGGACAAGAACAAGTGCAGAGCGACGGTCCAGCTCGACCGCAGCGAGGAGAAGCTGTTCACTCTGGATTATGACACCATTTGTCACTACGTAGGAGCAACAGACCGCTGATTCAAATATTAGTCCTTGTTAAAAAAATGTTGTTTGTGATGTTCCATAAGAATGGATTTTAAAGCATTGATATTTTGTAATAAAACGTTAAGAATTGGATTTGTTACAGATATTATAACGATCAACCACTGACCCACAAAGACAAGTTGCGCTGAGTCATTATAGGTGTTTAGATTTATTAGCAAGTCCACTAATGGCTTTAGTAACAACGACAAAGTCAATCATCAGGTCATATAAAAAAGTATTTACAACATTTCTACGTGTAAGAATGAAAAGCACTGCAGGTGTAAAAGCTCAGCGCTCGATTTCTGACATTTACACAAACACACACAAACGTTTCAGAATGAAAACAGAACTTGAGATCTCTCAGTCCGTAACTCTCTTTAGTCGTTTCCTCCGGAGCTCGACTTACTCCTTGGGTATCTGGTTAGCCGCGTTAGCCCGAAGCACGGCCCCCGGACTCGGGTAGGGCCGCTGCTGGAACAGGGGCCCCGCCGCTGTGGTGTCTGCACCCGTCTTCGCTTCGTTGCGCTTCGGCAGACCGGTGGACCACGTGCCCCTGTAAACGCAACGACGTTCGCTTTAATACATATGATAATAAAATAATAATTGAATATTTCTTTCCTAACTTTATGGAACTGCCATAGTAAATCTCTGCAGTGCTACTTTATCATCACTGCTGTACCTTGGGGCATCAGAATAAGCACTTGGATCCATGGGGTCCATCTCGTCATCTTTTCTCCCTGAAAGGAAAATGAATATGCATCGCCCATTCATGTAAAAGAGCATCATTGACTTTGAATGCTTGTCTCGTTTGATGCCGATGTAAAGCATTACCTCTTTTGTTTTTGCTGTACGGCGCTGGTTCCTCTCTCCTCGGCTTTCTTCTCTCCCGCTCCCTCCCTTCGTCCCTCTCTCGCTCTCTCTCCCGTTCCCTCTCCCGTTCTTTTTCTCTTTCCCGCTCCCGCTCTCTCTCTAGCTTCTCAAACGGCCTCTCGATTCTTTCATCTCCTCCCTCTGCTGAATCATGAAAATAAAATAAAAGGCAATGGTCACAAAATAAAACCAAACAAACTCTAATCTCTGATTATTTGCTGAATGGTGATCAAACCAGCAATGATTTACATGTGATGCATCAGAAGTACACAACAGATCTCCATAGTGATTCCAACGTGCCAGTCATCAAAATGTTATAGAGGCTTTAAAATGTCACACCTCTTATTTTCTTGGCAGGTTTTGTTACCACTGAAGTTGCGTCATTCGGGGACAGCCAGGCCACCAAATCCGTCTCCACGTTCCAGTAATAAGGAAGGCCGCTGTGGATGGACAGGAGAGAAACTCAAAACAGTTGGATTGGCAAAAAAAAAAAAAAAAAAAAGATCTTTGCTAGTAGTATAATCATCGATGATGAAGTACAATGTATTTCTTTAACACAACACAAAGCAGCAGAGAAGCTCATCCTAAATGAATGCAGACAAAAAGCTATTGACAAAAAAGCTGAAGCTATTGTCTCCATAACTATTAAATAAACATGACAGAATAATAGAATAAGTTTCAACTTCAACAGTAAATGTTCATGGTCTCATTTTTATCCAATTACGGCAGTTTTCTTTTTACTACTAATGAACAAATCTTTCTCCAACCCCAAAATGTGGAACAAAATCCTCTAGATTAACGGAGCACAAACACACACAGATCCATGGTGACCTCTTTAAATCAGACATGTCAAATCCAGAATAAGGTCGACACGTCTGTGTAATCTGTTGGGAGAACTGCGTACGTACCAAGCCGGGTCAAACACTTTATACCAGTTCGGGGGAAGACTTTCCACTCTCGTCGCTTCATAATCCACGTTGTTGTCATCGTAATCTTCAGCAATAATCTCCTCATCTGCCTCTGGATGAATAGGAGGACAAAAGATTTGTTACGTGACACAAAAACAAAAATAAGTACGTAAAAAATGTGTGAACCCGGCGTTTTTCTCGTGCCGTGTATCGTCACCTTGGTCTGACGGTTTCACGATCCCTCTCTTGGCCAAGCGGGCCAGCAGTGCCGCGGGAAGAGGCATCCTGCAACAGAGAGAAGGGAGGCATTGCTCATCATGACGATGCAACGAGACAGAACGCAGTCAATCACAACCTTCATCAGCTAGAAGCAGGAAAAACACGGATAACCGTCTCCGTTCTAAAGAATTACACTTACGCAATTACTGAAATTGATAAGTAGTTTCACTATTATCCAGTTTTCTTATGTTCTTAGATACATTTATTGTTCCCTGTGGCTGTGTTAGCTTACCGGACTTGTGTGTGAGTTCGATACAACGGTGGAACAATAGATTGAATCTCCAAATTATTAATTTATTCACAGTCTTGGGTCGATATCTTTGACTTGTGCGGCAGTGAATTAAATATAAGGTTAGTTAGATTTTGGACTGGACAAGCAATAAAATGAAGTTATTGGGTCTTTAATACATCCACACACCAAACAATTGTTCAATTAGCCAAAATGAATTAAGTAAATTAATGGGTTATTTGCACCTTTAATAGCAAAATGCATTTTTGGTCCCCCCCCTCACCCTACACTATGATTCATTTCGATAGTTAATACTACGAATTCAGGTGGATTATTTTCTTTGGCTTTTAGTGTACGTACAATTAAAAACGTTATTAATAAAGTGGGCAAGCGTTATTTAACATTTCTAGAAAGGTCTCATTGTAAGAACCCGTCCTGTAATGTTAGTTATGAGCCACGGTGGCTCCGGTCAAACGTCAGCTAGGGAAGCTAAGCTAACGTTACCTTTTGCAGCTCGGGTTCGTCTTCTAAAAAGATCAGCATTTTTAATGAACCTCTTTATGGACAAGAAAACGTGTATTCTCATTAAATAGCAGCACCCCCACGACCAGAAACTTTAGATGAATGAACAGCTGAATGCGGTCAAGCCAGACTCCACTTTGAAAAACAGTCAGCCAGCCAGCCTGCACGTGCGCGCGTGTGCGAGGCATTACGGTAAAGGCGTGCAGGAACTGACTTCAAAATAAGAGCGATGCTCCAGTGAGCGTGATAAAACGCGTCACATTCATTCGGTTAGTCAGTCAATGCGTTGTTATTTTTTGTCTAGATTTTCAAAAGTGAAGCCCTTCAAAATCTCCTTCGTGAGCCAACTTCAAATCGCTTTCACAAGCCATTTTAACGTTATCTCTTTGTTAATTTAGTTTAATTTATTCATGTATCTATTTGTTTATGCGACGATATTGATGTATAAATGAATTAATCTATCATGTAGACCTATTAACTGATTCACTAAATGAATGTGATATTTCTTATCACGTTTACTGGAACGTAGCTCTTATTATGTAGTCAGTTCCTACACGCTCTTACCGTAATGCCTCAATCACACGCGCACCGCGGAAGAGCCTGCGGGCTGGCTTGACCGCGGTGGTAACTGGTTGATTAAATATCAAAGAAACGCACTGACCTGTGCACATATACCACCAAAACTACACCAACACTAAAGAGTTCACTTAAAAACAAAACTGAAAGAATGGGAATCTATTTCTCATTACCTTTCCTTTTTTTAGGATGATCGCCTCTCTAATCTGTGAGTAGACACGACTTTCCACAACGGCACACGGCGCGCACAATGATGACGTAAGCACCGCTCTCTTCACAGCAACAAACATGGAGGAATATGCCCGTGAACCTTGGTGAGATTACCTTTTTTTTAATATAAACATTTCCTTTCTTTGTACATTAAAACATGTTGACCTCGGAAATAGCTTTTATTTTCAATTCGAGGTTCAAGTTGTTTTGCGGTCAAACGCAGAGGCAGTGTGCGCTAGCCGGCTAGCTTAGTGGAGGCTCAGGGATATAAAGAGATAAAGCTGCATTCAGTTACACGGCTTCTGCTCTGAGCTCCTGCAACCTCTGACATGAATGAGTCTGTCTAAAGGACAGCTGACCAGATGGACCACATGAACAAAATATAATTCACACTTCAGCTTCTTTTTTTTAAAAATGTGTGCATTTGATCAAATTTGACCCACTGAACACAGAGAGAAAGACGACACATAATAGTTAATGACAGGGGACCACGGCTAAAGTATTACTTGTAGGGGCCTTTCCAGAATCCCTGGCTATGAATGTTCAAACAAACAAATTGTAACTTTTAATAGAAAATATGAAATGCAGCTGTCGCAGAAAAATAAAATTGTTATTAAAATAATTCTGTGCATATTTGTTTGTACTTTAGTTGGACTAAAATAATCAACCATGCTTCTTTTTGTAGAGCAATTTATTCATCAACAAAATATGACAGAAAATACTAAAGAATACACCCATTGGATGTTTTTCAATGAGCAACAATCGCAGCAAGTGATCTTTTCCAATTGTTTTACAGTCTATTAATCAGCAGGTTCAGTGCCACGAAGGTAATGATTTGAAGGCGGCTTCAGTTAAACTCTGAAGCAGCTGCTCAAATAACTGACAACCATTGCCGTAGCACATTGCGAATTCTGTCAGTACCAATCTTCTCTCCATGATAAACTATTTGAATGCGATTCCAGTGTGGAAAATTGACGCATTGCGTGTCAAAGCCAATGTCTGTTGTTTTTGTATGTTTTTATCTTCACTTCTTAATGCATCCCTCTAGTCCCTGGAGAATAGTGGATGACTGTGGAGGCGCTTTCACCATGGGTGTCATTGGAGGAGGGGTGTTCCAGGCGATCAAGGGCTTTCGTAACGCCCCGGCAGTGAGTCCACGTCATCATTTGATCATCACATGCTACAGCAACAGGTTTTTAAAGGCAGCATTGAACAGTGATCTAATGTTTTTAGGGTGTCGGACACAGACTGAGAGGAAGCGCAAATGCAGTGCGAATGAGAGCTCCTCAGATCGGAGGTGAGGACGTCTCCTTTTGAAACCACGAATTGTTCCTCTTGGAGTCCTGTTATGCACACGGGAAATGATGGAATCCAATACTATCACTCCCAATGTACATTAAATGATTTACCTGCACAAGGGTTTGTTTATTTTGGTCCAGTTGGATCATTTACTTTGCCTTTAATTATTATTATTGGTGTTCAGGTAGCTTCGCTGTGTGGGGGGGGCTCTTCTCCACCATCGACTGCGGGTTAGTTCGCTTGAGAGGGAAAGAGGATCCTTGGAACTCTATAACAAGTGGAGCACTTACTGGGGCCATCCTGGCAGCACGCAGTAAGAGGCGGCCCATATATCACAATTACGTGAGCACATCAAATTAACTGTGATTTAATCAATTCAGTGTTTTTCCCCCAGGTGGGCCGTTAACTATGATGGGCTCTGCCATGATGGGCGGGATTCTGCTCGCTCTAATTGAGGGATTTGGGATCCTCCTGACCAGATATACAGCAAAGCAGTTCCAGAACTGTAAGTGAAGCTGATTGAGTTTTTCGCAAATTACATTTTCAGTGGCTGTTATCAATATTTTTATATTAAGTAAAGGGCCTCTTAAACGGATATGAATCCTTTCCTTTATTCATTTCTGTATTTCTATGAATAACTGCTGAAATCTAGAAAAGGAGGCACTAAGGCTGAACATCTCACTGTGGAGCCACAAAGTCTCGGTGCAGCTACGCGTATTAGATGCAACACTTTTTTTTGAAAATCATGCAGAGGCACGGACCGATTTCACAGCAGACATTTTTACCTGGTGTAGCGGAAAACGCAAAGGTGTCACTGATAACGATGGCTCAGTTCCATCCACGACAATGAGACCGAGCGATAACCACAAACTGAAGGAGTTCAGTAATTATGCCATTTTATTTTGAACACATATGGTTTTTCCATTCTGACATTACCGAAATACCTTCCATGCTAAAAAAATCATGTATGAATAATATTTACACCATGAATGAAAAGGTTACTGCTATTAAATCCCTTCTGGTTTTCTACAGCTATTCCATTCGCAGAAGATCCCAGTCAGCTGCCTCCGAAGGATGGAGGTCAGCAGCAGCAGCCTCGGGGGGCAGAGGGGGGGTTTCAGTAGAGCATCCGGGACCAGCTGTGGACACAGAGAGTCAAACCAGAGAGATGGGAGGACCCGGATGTGGAGATGTTGGTCTCCACGGTGGTTGTCAAGAGTAGTTGCACTATGCACGTATTACCTCAGGGGCAAAATACTGTGAGTTTATTTATTTCTGTGTATTTTCTGAAGTGAATGCTTGTAACAAACCTCATGTTTGCATTGCAACATTTTCTGAAGAGTTAAATGTGAAATTCTGAAATGTGGATGAGAATTAATTGTATTTCTTAACATGTAGGTGGCAGCTGTATTTAAAAAAAATAGTTTGACATTTTGTGAATTACAATGATTTGCTTTGATGCAGAGAGTAAGATAAGAAGATTCTCTCTTTCACGTCCCTTTAGGTTTTTAACCAGGTGCGCTGACTTGCTGCAGTCTTGAGTGTGCATCTCTCTTTTTATGTAATCCTGAGCAAGAAACCAAATTTCACAAGATAATACAACTATCCCTGTAGGCTTTCAAATATATGTGCACAGATTTGTAAGTAATTTGTTTATGACTGCGAGGAGGAAAGGTAGAGCAACACGACAAACGAGGCGTCAGTGAGGTTTTAATCTCAGAGGCGTGTGTTCTGGCAACCTGAAGTCTTAAATGATGTGTCTTCTGTGACAATCAATGCAATGAACAGAAAATGTGTTTATATAATGTGTGCACTCAAGATGTGTCTCAGCTCAACGAAAATCTAATGCCACCCTTTGTTTGCATTATCACTTAATATGGTTTTGCCTCACCGGGCAGCTATTACTGTCAATCTTTGTTGGGTCGTTATTAACTATTAGAAGGGTGAGAAATATGGATGAGTTCCCAAAGAAACGATGGCTTGAATTACTTGCACCGCACTTTGATCGCTGCATTATCCATCAAGCAACCAAGCACTTTTTCTTAAAGCATATCCCACAGGACGGCAGTTGGTTGTGTGTTTTACAGTCAAACTGTGTATAGAAAGGATGTTTAGTATTGTCAGTATTGTTCATCTTGCAAAAGCGGATGAAAGAAAAACAAATAATAAAGGCATCAAATGTTCTTTAATACTTGGTCTGGATGGTATTTTTTTTTAAAGTTGCCATAGATTTGCAAAGCTTAAAAATATAATGAAGCGATGACCCTATTTACCGTGAAGGAGCGCCCTCTGTCGCCCGTCCACCGGTACTGCACCCACCAGCTGACCTGTCCAAGGTCCTGAAATCCCCTCTTTAACTCTCAGTTAAACAACCCCATATTTCTATCCCGACAATACGTGTTAATGTCCCCCCCTGTTTGGTTGAACTAACACTGTGAACACAAAAGCCCCCACGTAGCCACAGAGCACCTCTTCCTCCACCTTCCCCCGTGAAAGATTTCCCCTGTCATCCTTTTAAACGGCTCAACTCGTTTAATCCTGCCGGCTGACCACCGCGGGCAGGCGGACGCGTTTCTTTGAATAACACTTCTATCACCGTTGTGTGCCTGCGTTTTTTGGGGGGGGATACAAAGTCATTGAGTTGTTGCTTTTTTCTTTAATTTAATTGCACGGTACAACATCCCGAGATTTCGGTTTTAACTGGATTTGTGGGCTACGAGCAGGTGTCGAGCCGGATGGCCTCCAGCCGCTCAGCTGCCGCGGCGGGCCACGCCTGGTCATGAGATGACAGGCGCCAGATGGTTCTCTTTTCTTTACCCCTTTAGAAAAAGTTATTTTTCGGGGCCTAAATTTACATCCGCGCTCCAGTGCGCATCGCGGATCGCCTGCGGAGTTGATGGTGGGTTTTCTGAAGTGATTTCGTGGCGTTAAACTGCGGACATGGAGGCAAAGAAAGGTAAGAGAATGCGCTTTGTGCTTTTTTTTTTTTTTGTGCCTCACGCAAGGAAATTAACTCTTAATATAAAAGCACACGCTAACAGACAATCCCACGCATAACTGTTTTTTATTTAATGAAATCACACATGCAGTAGTTTGGTCAAACATATCCTGATAGAAATCCATGTGTCTTACCATTCAAATCAAAGCAGGCATTCCTCTAACAACAACAATAATAACTGCACAGCAGGGCATCACATTCAATACTTCCACACTAAGGACGCCGGTTATTTATTTCCTCATATTTGTGGCTCTCTAGTTTCTTACGTGGGACAGAAGATATGTGTCCACAGGCTTATACTTACACTGCAGGGCCTTGATCACCTACATGGGGATAGTGCTGCGCTAAGTGCCGTGCTGCTTCCACCAGAAGTAGGTCACATCGGGTCCTTCAAAATGAGGCCTTCAGCACAGGATTCCTGTCTGGTGCTATCTGGTCTATCGTTAGTTGTGCTGGTTAATACACTGCAGTGATATTATGACATATGTGAGAATGAAGTCAAAGCTGCACGCCGATGACTGGACTCTGATTGAATGACAATAAAGGTATCCACCAGTAGACTTCTCTATTGGCCTCTAAGTACCGTTTATGTATTAAAAAAAATGTAATTGTACCTTTAGACAATTCACAGCCTATAACCATCGGTCATGTAATAACCACGCGTTTTACCCTTCCTTCCTTTAACTTTGTCACATTCAGGATGCTCGAAAACGCTGAACAACAGAGATTCTGATTATTTTGTTTTTTTGTTTCTCTGGCAGATGCCCTCCCTGGGGGGGATGGAGGAAAATCAGACACCCTCGGGTCCGGTGGCTCGGCCAGAAAAAGAGGAGGGGGGGCCAAGAAGGCAATGCAGGCAAACAAGTCCGCCCTCAGGGCCCCCCGAGCCCTCTGCTGCCTCACCCTCAGCAACCCCATCCGCATGGCAGCGCTGGCCCTCGTCGAGTGGAAATATCCTTCTTCTCCGAGTTACTTCGCTGTTGTTTTCTGCATGTTTACGTGACTGCATATTATTCAAATGTACAATGTGTTCTAGAGAACAGCTCAACGTGTTGGCGGGTTTTGCATTTTGCTGTTGTGGGGAATTTTTCCTGGAAATATACACTCACAAGGCCAGCTGTGCCCTTAACGACACTCCTCAAGCCCTTCGATATTTTCATCCTGCTCGCCATTTTTGCCAACTGCGTGGCCATGGGTGTCACGAAGCCGTACCCAGATGACGACTCCAACGCCACCAATCACCAGCTGGTGAGTTCCCAGTGGAGAGATGCACAGTAGCTCAAGCCTACTTGTTGTCTTCTACCCATTTAGAAAGTTCATGGTACTCTCAGCTGATATCAAGTGTAAGTCTGTCTCATTATAGATGAAGTATAACATAATGAGGAGAAAGCTTATCAACACTAAACGGCACAATCACCAACGTGTTCTAGCACAAAACAGCCCAAAAACTCACACAAGAAGGTTGTGTGTTTTGTCAGTAACCGTTCCCTTCATCTTCTGATTGATGACGACTTTGCCACATTGATGCACAGACAAATGGATCAAACAGAAAGAGAAGGTGTGGAGAGAGATCTTAGAGGGCCAGACACGGAGAACACCACATAAATCACACGGATGCCGGAGCTCTTTGATCATACTGAGCTTTCTCCTTCAGACTACATTGTGCTCCTTGGAAACTGAAAGTATAAAAAGTGTAGGACATTCACTCAATGACGAGGTGAACTAAGCCTGCTCGTGGAATTTAACGCCTTTCCTGTGTTCCTGTTTCCAAGTCTAGACTCTCACTAAGAACGTCCCGTGTGTCTCTCCTCTCGACTCATTTGAGGAAACTAACAGACGCATTCGGAATTCCTTGCAACCGCCTCATTTGGTATTTTGCTGAAGGTCGCTGAACATTTAGTGAGAACTTGGTGTCCCTTCAGATGGTAATAGTGTTAGAGGGAGACAAGTTGTGACCCCCGTCAGGGTGACCCTGTCAGGGATCATGACTGACTTTAAGTCCACCAACCATCTGCTCAATCTCCCTCTTCGTTCCTTCCCTTTCTTACCATTTGTCCCCATGAATTGCACAGCAGTCAAACTGAAAATCATCCTGTTTTTCCTTTGGCGTATTCGATATGTGAGATAATGTGAACCACGAACAGCTTTATATAAGTGCAAATAAACCCGTCCCATTGTTGTTATTTCTTGGTTGGAAGTCATCCATACCTTGTTTGTAGAGAGGTAACAATGATGTGTGAATAGCATTTTAGGAAAATTCATTAAAAATTCATTTCAGTGACACACACACACACACACACTCACACACAGTTGCAGCAGGATAGATGTAAGTAGATCCCTTTATTGGATTGCACAAAGAAGGTAAGCTGACAGTTTAACATACACACACACACCCCCTCAGTGATTTCGAGTTGTTTCACTTCCAATCAGCACTTCTTGGGGGATGTTACTAGTTGTAACGAGTCCCACACTTCTTTCATGAAACCATAAATGGTCTGGGTTATTGTGTTAGATTAGAGCATCAAGCTGAAGGTTACAGAGAAGAGATCCATAAGCGTGTGTCAGGCAGTAGGTTAAGAGGTTACAAAGCCACCGTTGTCAAACAGGAAAAAGTCTGTTAATGCCACTTGGAAAGTGTGGTTCTAAATGTCTTATTTTACTGTCACAATCACAATTATTGATTGATATTTATTGTTCTTCCAGGAACAAGTTGAGTACGTCTTCCTCGTCATCTTCACCATCGAGACCTTCACTAAAATTCTCGCCTACGGCTTGGTCATGCACCCCAGCGCCTACATACGCAGCGGATGGAACTTGCTTGACTTCGTCATCGTCATCGTCGGGTATTTTGGCGCGGCCCCCCGATTCTCAGCGTGCAAATGTCCCCCCGCTCACAGGAACCAGGAGTTCTGACTGCCGTGTGCTTCCGTGCAGGTTGTTCAGCGTGATGGCGGAGGGCATGACCGATCACAAGCCGGGGGAGGCCCACCACGCCGCGGGGAAGCCCGGAGGCCTGGACGTCAAAGCCCTCCGAGCGTTCAGGGTGCTGCGGCCCCTTCGCCTCGTGTCCGGAGTGCCAAGTGCGTTGAACGCCCGAACGCGGCTTCAGTGAGCGCCTTTTCGCTGTCTCGCTCCTGTGACCCGCGTTGTGTGCGTCTGCCTTTTGCCAGGTTTACAAATCGTGTTGAACTCCATCATGAAAGCCATGGTGCCCCTCCTGCACATCGGCATGCTGGTCATGTTCGTCATCATCATCTACGCCATCATCGGCCTGGAGCTCTTTATCGGACGGATGCACAAGACGTGCTACTCCAGCACCACAGGTCTGTGCCCTCTGAACCCAAACTCATACATACCTGATGTGTGTCGGCTCAGTGCTGCTTTCTGCTCCAGGTCTCATGATAGAAGATGACCCGTCGCCCTGCGCGTTCGCCGGCAGCGGGCGTTTCTGTGTCGGCAACGGGACCGAATGCCGCGGCAAGTGGGAAGGCCCGAACGGCGGCATCACAAATTTTGACAACGTCTTCTTCGCCATGCTGACGGTTTTCCAGTGCATCACTATGGAGGGTTGGACAGACGTCCTCTACTGGGTACCACTCCTCGCCACTTTCACGTTTAGTTTTGTTTCAGTTGAAAATACTCAACTTTGTGTCTCTGCACAGATGAACGACGCCATCGGCTTTGAGATTCCGTGGGTTTACTTTGTTTCTCTGGTCATCTTCGGCTCCTTTTTCATCATCAACCTTGTGTTGGGTGTGTTGAGCGGGTAGGTCGCTGCAGCGCGCCGCTTTCTGGCCGTTTGCTGTGTTTGGTGAGGAACAAAATGAATCTGCCCAGTAACTTTCCTGAGTTTGTCCTTTTGCACAGAGAGTTCTCCAAGGAAAGAGAGAAGGCCGTCGCGCGTGGCGAGCTGCAGCAGGCGCAGGAGAGCAAGCAGATGGAGGAGGACATGATAGGCTACATGGACTGGCTCATAGAGGCCGAGGATGTGGACGAAGAAGGGAACAAACGTTAGTTCGAGGCACATCCATGAAGATAACCCCCCCCCCCCCCCCCAAAAAAAAAACTATACCCGGCTTTATATTTCTTTACAACATCCGACCTCTATTTCACCTCAAAGGTGCTGCCATCGCGAAGAAGAAGATGATGAAGAAGTTTGGCTGGTACAAACATAACGAGGACGGCGGAGGTACGTCAGCCGCTTGTCGGCGTGTTGGTTAAGCGTGACCTTCTCTGACGGCCGATCCTCTGTCTCTCTCTCTCTCTCTCCGTGAGCAGCGGAGTCCGACTCGGATGACGACATAGCGTACCTCGATGATGACAGTGGCTTCTGTGCGTCCCTCATGTAAGGCAACAGAGGAGCGGCGCAAGTTTTCATTCTCCGTTTAAGGCGTCGAGGAGGTCAATTCACGATTTGCGCGTTTTCTTCTTGTTCGCAGGGCAAAGATGATGGCCAATAGCTTCTGGTAAGACGAGGGATTGAAAAAAAAAGAGCGTTCCTTCCTCGTTTCAACGTGCACACCTCATTCCGAATTCGATCCTCCTGTTTGTCTCAGTGACCAATTGTGCCAGCTGAATCACACACTCAGGAAGAACTGCCGCGTGGCCGCCAAGACCAACAACTTCTACTGGTTGGTGCTTCTGCTGGTGTTCCTCAACACGGTGGCCAGTGCCTCGGAGCACTACGGACAGCCGAACTGGCTGACGGAAATGCAAGGTGAGCATCACTCACACATCAAACCCTTCACCGAGCTCAGCTGTGTGGAAACGCTGCCGAAAAAGGTCTCCTTGTCCCCTCCTTTGTCCCCTCAGAGCGAGCCAACAAGATCCTGCTGCTGCTGTTCACTCTGGAGATGCTGATGAAGATGTACGCCTTCGGCCTGCAGATCTATTTCATGGCGCTGTTCAACCGCTTCGATTGCTTCGTGGTGTGCGGCGGCATCCTGGAAACGCTGCTGGTGGAGCTGCAGTTCATACCGCCCATCGGCATCTCCGTGCTGCGCTGCATCCGACTGCTCAGGATTTTCAAGATGACCCGGTAACCGCGGCCGGAGTTTAGAAGTCAGTCGGCTGCAGGAGGAACAAACCAGTGAATCTCTCTCTCTCTCTCTCTTTTTTTTTTTCCAGGCACTGGGCCGCTCTGTCCGACCTGGTCAACTCGCTGCTGAACTCCATGAAAGCCATCTGCTCCCTCCTCCTGCTGCTCTTCCTCTTCCTCATCATCTTCGCCTTGCTCGGAATGCAGTTATTCGGAGGGAAATTCAACTTTGACGAGACTCAGATGAAGAGAAGCACTTTCGACTCTTTCCCTCAGGCTCTGCTCACTTGTTTTCAGGTGAGTGATGATTTGTAAAGCGCTTTGTAAACTACTTCACATTTAAAGGCAATATTTTGAGGTATAGGGACACAAAAACAAGAACATAAGTAGTTTATAGAAGATAAATATGAGAATTCTCAACCACCCAGCAAGAAAAGCTCCAAAACATCCTTAAATAGAAACCCCTGTAGACACCAGTAATTAACTATTTAATTATCTGTAGGTATTATGGCGTAAATGACCTCCTCTCACTGTGTGGGTCCACTGTGTCTCTTTTCTTTTGCAGATCCTCACCGGAGAGGACTGGAACGCTGTGATGTACGACGGCATCATGGCCTACGGGGGGCCCATCTTCCCCAACATGGTGGTGTGCATTTACTTCGTCATCCTCTTCGTCTGCGGTAACTGAATCCTTTCCCAGTGTCCGTGTGCCTTAGTGTCCGAGCACTACTTTACGTGATGGGTCTTTGAATTCCAAACGGGACAAAGTGCGCTCCTTAACTCTGCGATCAGACATCCTGCTCAATGTCTTCTTGGCCATCGCTGTGGACAACTTGGCGGGAGGCGGCGGAAAGACCGTAGTGGAGTAAGTTGGAGAAAGAGAGAGATGATGATCAGTGATCACTCATCAATCTCGCCTGATCTCCACACTGAGCACAGAACAATACAAGAATCCTCTCTCAGCTTATTTGCTTGATGGTTTGTGTGTTTTAGGGAGAAAAAGGAAGATGAAGACGAATGGGATGAGGATAATGAAAAAGAGGACGAAGATGCAGCGGTAGAGAATCTTTAGTATCTTCCTCCGGCACCATGTTGGACAAATGGTAAATGTCAAAGCGCTGATCCTTTGTTCCCCCCGCGCGTAGAACGAGGAGGACGATTGGCAGGAAAACGAGGAGCTGAGGGCCATCGAGGGACTGGAGGGTGAGGTTGAAGGACATCGCTGCCTGCAGGAGCAACGGCCGCCTCGATGATTAATACCTTGAACTGACCCTGATACGCCTCCTTTTTTCTCTCCGTATTTCGTCGCAGGAGTCGCTCCCTTGAAGCCCGAGTTCTCAGGGCCCAAAGAGAAGATCGTCCCAATCCCCGACGGGAGCTCCTTCTTCATTCTGGGCAAGAAAAACTGGTAATTGGATCATTTGTGCGGCAAATTGACCCGATTCTGCTCCACTCCTATAATGTTAACACTTTAATTCTACGCCGATTTAACAATTCACTTGGACATTTCTAAAAGAAATCTACTTTTCTATTTAATTTCCCTCCCATTGTCAGTCTGCGAGTCGCCTGCCACAACCTCATCCATCACCCCTACTTCACCAACTTCATCCTCGTCTTCATCATCCTCAGCAGTATTTCCCTGGCTGCTGAGGATCCGATCAAATCCCACTCGTTCAGGAACATCGTAAGAATGACCACGTCCATCTGCTCATTATTCACCGTGAAGGCGATTACTAACAGCAGCCTCTCTGACACTCAGGTGCTCGGCTATGCAGATTACGTTTTCACCTCCGTCTTCACGGTGGAGATCGTACTAAAGGTAACGGCGACGGCGGTTTAAATTGACTGGAACGTGCCGTGATTGGCAGAAACGGCCTTTTTTTTCTCACGTCTCCATCCTTTTGGCTCCCTCGCCGGTGTCTAGATGACGGTCTACGGGGCGTTCCTGCACTCCGGCTCCTTCTGCAGGAACGCTTTCAACCTCCTGGACCTGGTGGTGGTCGGCGTGTCGCTCATGTCTTTCTTTCTGCAGTGAGTTGATACCCGTCTACCACCGGCTGCACACGGAACACAAAGAACAGCAGTTCCATACGTCCCCTGTTTTACGGCCATTGCCTTTTTCTGGTTTATTAACCATTGAATATTTTGACATCGTTGCCCTCAGTTCAAGTGCGATTTCTGTGGTGAAGATTCTCAGAGTGCTGCGAGTGCTGCGGCCTCTTCGGGCCATCAACAGAGCCAAAGGACTGAAGGTGAACAGCACGTTCTTCTAAGTTCTCGAAGTTCTAATCACATTTTAAGCATCTATTGCAGGGCTGCTGAATTAGGCTGTGGGGTGTATTCATTTTTGTGTTTGCGTGTTCTTCTCAGAATGTGGTGCAGTGTGTGTTCGTGGCCATCCGCACCATCGGCAACATCCTGATCGTCACCACGCTGCTTCAGTTCATGTTTGCCTGTATCGGAGTGCAGCTCTTCAAGGTAAATGTTCCCTCACTTGGTCTAACACTGGGGCTAAATGAAGGGTACGAGGTCACTTGTTGTATTATACTGGACTTTATTATATTTGGAGCTGTTTAATATTTATGAGAATAAAAGGGGAGAAGCAGACTGGAGTCTCTGTGAGCTTTTGTCCTGTGAGAATCACTCAGACTAAATCACCATATTTTAATGTGAAGCTCTTCACGTCTGACATTTCCCTCTCCTACCTTCCCGTCGGGCAGCTCACCTCGCTTGTACACATCACTGCAAGTGCTGTTTAGCGCCTCCCACACTGGCGTACACCCTTCTCCAGTCTGCTACTGGGAATATAAAATAGATCTTTATTTTATACGGGAATTCAGGATTTAAGTCCATCTTCATGTAGAAATCATGACTATTTCTGACATGTTGCCCCTCCCTCATGTTTGTAAACGTAAATTCAATACAACACTAACAAATGTATAATGTGACGCACTCATTTCCCCCGATGTCATCAAAAAATGGAGCACTTTTAAAAAAGATCTTTCCTGTGTATTATTTCACAGGGCAGGTTCTACAGCTGCACGGATGAAGCCAAACACGATCCCGTGGAGTGCAGGTCAGTTTTGTCTTCCTCTCCTCTACACACGTCTGATCCCGACTCCCACTTGGAAAACCCGAGCCGCACGACGGGAAACACACCGGGTCGACGGCGCCGCGGCCACTGATTGTGTGCGTTTGTTTGATTTCAGGGGAACGTTTGTGGTCTACAAAGACGGGGACATGAACCACCCCATGGTGAGGGAGAGGATTTGGGAAAACAGTGATTTCAACTTTGACAATGTGCTGCAGGGCATGCTGGCTCTGTTCACCGTGTCCACATTCGAAGGATGGCCACAGTGAGTTTACTTTTTTTTTTCAGGATTATTATTGCTTTTGTTGTCAATGGACACCATGAAAAGAATGCTGTGGTCCACCTCTGTACTTTTGGACCCGCTCAGTTTGCCATTTTTACCGAGGATTTAAATCTCTAAAATCTGGTGACGAATTTGAAGTTGCATTTTATAAAAATGTCTTAATAATTCCATATATGAGCTAAACAGGAATGCATAGTGAATTTATCACAGTTGATTTAACCTTTTAAAATTCTATTTATTCTATTTGTTTATTTTTAGATTAACATTTAAAGGAAATGTGAACAACTGGGTTTTTAGCTACGTAGGTAAAACTTTTTTTGTTGTTTTAGTTTTAGTGATAAATATCATCGTGCTCGCCCTGGAATCCTTCTTTGTCTTTTTATGCTTGTTTAAAGACTCCTCTATCGGTCCGTGGATGCCAACGCCATCAACCGAGGGCCCATTTACAACTACCGAGTAGAGATCTCCATCTTTTTCATCATCTACATCATCATCATTGCCTTCTTCATGATGAACATATTTGTGGGTTTCGTCATCATCACATTTCGAGAGCAAGGAGAGGCGGAATTCAAAAACTGTGAACTCAACAAAAATCAAGTAAAAACATCACAGAGTTTTCAATAAAAATGCATCTTTGTGTGTGATACGTTTGTTTGGATTTGCGCATGAAACAATGTTCATCTTTAAATGATCCCCGCTGTTTCCTCCCGTGCAGCGGCAGTGTGTGTACTACGCTCTGAAGGCCCAACCCATAAAGATTTACATCCCCAAAGACCCGTCGCAGCTCAAATTCTGGAGGATCATCAACTCCAGCCAGTTTGAGTACATCATGTTTGTGCTGATTCTGGGAAACACCCTGACTCTGGCTGTTCAGGTACCATTAAACCTCTTCACGCAACGCGGAGACGTCCACTTGTTTCAGTGCCGTGACGCGAGCTTCTGTGGCGCCGCTTCTCCCGCAGCATTACGAGCAGTCCAAAGGCTTCACCTCCATCATGGACATCCTCAACATGATCTTCACCGTGGTCTTCACCATAGAGATGATCATAAAGCTGCTGGCTCTGCGGGTTCATGTGAGCTTTCACGCTTTGACCTTTGGCTTGAACGACGTTCGTGCGTCACCCCTGTCCGCGTTTTGACGCTCTTCGTTTCTTCTTTTCCTCCGCAGCACTATTTCATCGACCCGTGGAATTCCTTTGACGCGTTGATCGTCGTGGGCAGCGTGTTGGATATCGCCGTCTCCGAGTTGAGCGTAAGAAAAACAAAAAACACATTTCAAAAGTGAATGTATGACATGTGGTTTCTTTCTATAAAAAAAGTCAACCAAATCCTACAAGGCTCCAGTATCATTGGCACAAAGTGTTTTAAATGTTTGATAAAAGATTTAAATGCAGCGTCTTACCCAAAATAAACCTCCGAACTACATCATTGATTTGTAAAAAGTTTACTGTAAAATATTTAAAAAGGTTCAATTTTAGATAGAACACCTGCTTAATTGATTTATTACCTGTATATCTGTACGCACACACTAACCCTTCAACATAATTGTGTTCCTGGTAGTGTGGAGCGACGATATTAGGAGAGCAGAAATTCATACAGACTAAGGAAAATCCATCATCAGTGAACTTGAAATTGACTTGTTTTTTTTTCACATTTCCCTGTTCTCACCTGGCATCTGTTACCTGTTTCAGGGAGGAGGCGGCCACGGTGAGGTAAGAGCTCAGCACAGCACGTTGTATTCGTGCCTCAAGATAAACCTGAGCACTCTGTGACACGCACGTAAGCACACACTGACACGTAGCCGTTCTGGCTCTGCTCCAGGGTCCCGGTAAAGGAGAGAGCGGGAAGGTGTCCATCACCTTCTTCCGTCTGTTCCGAGTCTTGAGGTTGGTGAAACTGCTCAGCAAGGGAGAGGGCATTCGGACGCTCCTCTGGACCTTTGTCAAGTCGCTGCAGGTGACAGAATGATTCACTACCACGCGCGTCCGGACAGCACCCTTCTTTCATTGTGTAATCGTAACCTTTGTCGTGCTCAGGCTCTGCCCTACGTCGGCCTGCTCATCGCCATGATCTTTTTCATCTACGCCGTCATCGGCATGCAGGTCAGTCTCTCTCAGAACGCAAGTAACGATGAAGAAAGCTGCCGATACCATTGAAGATCCTGGTAGTTTTTATCATATTGACCCCGTTTGACAAAGTACTTTCCCTTCAGACGTTTGGCAAAGTGGCCATCGACGACGACACGCATATCAACAGAAACTGCAACTTCCAGACTTTCTTCATGGCCGTCCTGGTGCTCTTCAGGTGCGTCGTTGGCTTAACAGCTCAAGTCTCTCAGTGTGTAGGTGCAGGAGGTGCAGGTGGCAGCTGAGTATTCCGCACCTGTCCTCGTGTCCTTGTAGGTGTGCCACCGGAGAGCAGTGGCAGGAAATCATGCTGGCAGCTCTGCCTGGCAGACGCTGCGACCCGGAGGCCGACACCGAGCCCGGCGAGGAGTTCAACTGCGGCAGCAACTTGTCCTACATCTACTTCATCAGCTTCTTCATGCTCTGCGCTTACCTGGTGAGGAGGATTAAGGATGTGTTCTCAGCGCGTTCGCAGTTAAAACGCTTTCCCCTTCTCTTTGTATCTCGTAAAAAAAAAAACGGCCTGCGGAGAACTAAATTAAATGGAGGTATAATGAATTCAGACAGGCTTTATTGGGTCGAGTGGGATCACAGTCAGATGAAAGTAAAGCGTGTAGCGTTGCAACGAGCGAGCGGCGGCAGCTCCACAAAGCTAACCCGGCCTCCAGCGGCACCTTGGAAAACGCGCTGCTCGGTGGATTTTGTTAATCCACACAGCGAAGCCAAAATCCTGATTTAAAGAAGGTGCAAATGTTTGGGTAGCATTTCCATGATCTCATGATGCTATTCTTAGACGTCTAAGCAGGGTTGAAACCAAGTAGAACCAGGAGAATGTGTGAGAGCCGAGAACAAAGTCCGATTTGAAGGCCGGCCAGTGAAAGTGGAAGCGGATCCTGAAAGCGGACGGACAGGTTACCGCCTTAAAAACATCCTCAATGCAAACTGATGATGAAGAGTAATTCGAAATGCAGCGGGTGCAGCCAGTTGCATTTGGTGATTATAGACTTTTAAGAAGCATCGTCATGAACATTACATTGCATTTCTGTTAGTGGATCCCCCTGAATGCTACACACTGATCCTCTAAGGTCACTTCAAGTTCACATCTCAGCACTTTGATTGTTTCCTCGGGGACAAATTTACAACCACAGCGTCCAGATAGATGTTCGACCCTCGTCTCCTCAAGTGCGTCTCTCATCTCGTCCACGGTTTGCTCTCTTGTGGACAGCGGACCTCCCTCGGTGTGTGTGTGTGTGTGTGTGGTCCGTGACCTTTAGCAGAGCCCCACTGTGACCCCTCCTCCAAACACTTCCATTTAGAGTATTGGGCCTCCTCTTAACTGCTTGTGTTATTTTGCCTTAAAGCAAATCAACTGTATGAATTTCATTTGACATTACTTAAATACACATTCATACACAAACGCATTTCTTTTACAGTCACATTGTAGTCAGCAACTATTACTTGCTATGCTTTTACATAGTTTGAAAGCGTCTTTTGATGTCACTTGTAAATGACCAAATCGGTCCTGTCCTCGTCTCCGTCAAGATCATCAACTTGTTCATTGCCGTCATCATGGACAACTTTGAATACCTGACGCGCGACTGGACCGTGCTCGGCACCCACCACCTGGACGAGTTCAAGAGAGTCTGGTCCGACTACGATCCCGAGGCCACGTGAGAGTCGCCGCTCGTCCGAATATTCTCGTCCGTCAAGCCAACGTCTGACTCTCTCCCGTCTCCCCCCTCCCTCCCCCCGCAGCGGCCGTATAAAACACATCGACGTCGTCACCATGCTGCGAAGGATTCAGCCGCCTCTCGGTTTCGGAAAACTGTGTCCCCACCGCGTCGCTTGCAAGGTGAGTTTGAGTCCGCGTTGCAAACTGCGCCGCGGAGGAACCCGAGCAGACGCACGACACCCTCTCCCCTCGCGCCTCTTCCGTCCTCCCCAGAGACTCGTCGCCATGAACGTCCCGCTGCACTCCGACGGGACGGTCACCTTCAGCGCCACCCTGTTTGCTCTCGTGCGAACCTCGCTCAAGATCAAGACCGAAGGTTGGATCTCGTTCGTGTATTCAGAGTCTCGCTCTCCCTCGGTGCTTTTTTGTTGTTGTTGTTTTTTTCCCACTTACGGGATTTGTTTGTCGTTGTCGCCCGCAGGCCCGATCGACAAGCAGAACGAGGAGCTGAAGCTGATCATCAAGAAGCTGTGGAAGCACACCAGGCCCAAACTCATCGATGAAGTCATTCCTCCCCCTAGAGGTACAACGCAAACTCGCATAAGCCGCCAGACTGCAAGAGAGTGAAAGTGATGAAGTCATCGTTTGCCTTTAATTATACTGCCCTGAAACAGAACTAACTTCCTTTTCGTTCCTTCTCAGGGGAGGAGGTGACTTGCGGGAAGTTTTATGCAAGCTTCCTGATTCAGGATTATTTTAAAAAGTACCGCAAGAGAAAGGAGAGGGAGAGGAAATCCAAAAGGAAGGACAGGGCGGCTTCTCTGCAGGTGACTTTAAAAGAGCGTTGTGTTGGGTTTGAGGGGATCGAATCAGCACACCGAAGGCCACCCGAGGTCGGCCACACGACCCACTCACAAAGGGGGAGATCCCATTCAGATATACCTACACTAACCATTCAGCCTTAGAAAAGCACTTTATAAATCCTAATTCTCAGCAATATGAATACACAAACGTTTAGTTTACGTCCTAAACTCCCGAATTTCTACATCAAGTATGTGGCGGTTGCATACTGGACCACGATTGGCTGTTGTGAGGTCACAAAATCCTGCTGGAATATGTACACGTCTTGATGTCAGGAGATGCTTTTTTATGTCAAACTCTGCAGAAGCTTTTGCGTCTGTAGGAGGCAGGAGATCAGACATTCAAACTTTACATGTGTGCGTTCGTAGCTCGGGCTGCGAACGCTGCAGGATCTGGCTCCGGAGATGCGTCTGGCGATGGCCTGTGACCTTGAAGAAGAGGAGGGCGCGGAAGGAGAGGTGACCGGCGATGATTTGTTCGACAGCGGGCCGGGAACCTCCGCGAGCGTCCCGCTCGCCGGCAACTCGCTGTCGCCCATAAACAAGCTGGTGGAGCAGATTACCGTGCTCATGGAAAACGAGTTCAAGAAAGCCGAGGAGGAGGAGGAGGTGGTGGTGGTGACGGAGCAGGTGGCGGGCCTGCAGGAGCACCAGAGGCCGTGGTCCGAGCTGGCGGGAGTGAGGGTGGTGACAGAGCAGCCTCTGAGGTCTGAAGCCCTGCCCCTCAGGTCTGTTCCTCTCATGTGACATAAACTCACACATCAGGACTCTATTTCGCGTATGTTTGTTTGAGTCACTGCAAGCTGTTTGCATCTTCTCTTCAGGGAGGAACCCATCGATGAGTTGCCTCCTCCTCCTCCTCCTCCTCCTCCTCCCCCGGAGATTGCACCGGATGTAGTGGAAGAACCAGCGGCGGTGGCTGCAACCGCAGAGGAGCAGGTTTGTTGCATTGAGGAGGACGCTGCTGGCGGAGCTCCAGTAGACGGGTAAGAAACAAGCGATGACGAGGGAGGGGACAGTGACAACATTTGTGTTACAAGTTAATAAATAAACAAAGAGTTTGAACACCAACCCGACTCTTGGATCTCACAGGTACGTGCACCCAGAAGCTGTGTCTCCTTTACCAGCTGAGGCAAGTTACAATGAGCTGGGCCTGGAAAGCGGCGTCAGCACTGGCGAGATGCCATATGACAATCGTGACGCCAACGGCTACGCCAACGGATACGGCAACGGCTACGCCGGCAACGGGTACGATGGCGGCAACATGAATGGCGAGAGTGTCACCGAGAGCCCCGCGCCGTACACCTCAAATGGATTTGATGGGAACGGATACGCGGGCGACATGGAAAACGGCAGCATCGTCAGCGCCAACGGCAACGGAAGTGCGATGAATGGAAACGGCAGGGCTTTCGGGGGTTACACTGGGAATGGCTACAACGGAAGCGAGAATGGTACCCAGTTTGTCAGGAGACGGCTGCTTCCTCTCATACCACAAGGTGAAAAGAAAAAGGAGTTGTTTTTTCGTTCTGTATGGGTTGAAATTGTCAGTTAAATATTTATATTGCATACATTCACAATGTGCGATTTACACAATTATACAGTTCTAACAACCAAACGATCGAGCTACAACGTTAAATTATCAGGCGCTTCAAGGGCAACTACACATATTTTTAAGATTTTTATGGTGCAATTACCAAATTCAGTGGCCTCATCCGAAGACGTGATGCTGATACCAAAACCTTCCCCAATAATGACAATCATGACATTATAGTCATGCATGCTGACCAGTTTCCTACCACTTCTTTGCATGTCGTTTCAGGTCAAAAGCCGTCCTTTAACCTTCAGTGTCTGAGGCCACAGAGCAGTGTGGACAACCTCCCCATCCCGGGGACCTTCCGTGGGGCCGCACCCCCACTGAGATCCCATATACACGTAAAGCAACGACGCGCACGTACAACCCCCCAGAATGACGGCGTTCCCAAATCACCTTGATTCACTGGTTTCCTCCCCCCGTCGCAGAACCAGCGCAGCCTGGACTCGCGGCCCGGCAGCGCGTCCTCCGTGTCGTCGGCCTCCTGGGTCAACGCGACCGCAGCAGCCGGCGCCGGCCATCTCCCGGGAACGATGCCCGCCTCGGGGCGCCGGGGCAAGCTCGTCTACACCCCCATGATCCTAGTGGACGAAGCCACCGGCAACAGCCAGCCGCTGTGGAGCGACGGCTCTGCCAGCCTCCCCGTGGGCGCCAGGGCGCCCGGCTGGTACCCGGGTCAGACCAGGACCTTCACCAGCATGAGGATGCCACCGGTCGGACAGGGCTTCGTAGACAAAGGCAGCGCGGACAGTCTGGTTGAGTCGGTGAGTAGTAATAGTAACGTTTTGGACAGACTTGTCTCTAGGTTTCTTTTTTTTCACTTTTTGTCTTTTTAAACATGAATATTTTTCCTAATATACCTTCTTATTTTCAGCTGTTTTGACACATTCAGTATTTTATTTGTACTACCCATACAAAGTATTACACAGTAGTAGTAAGACTCTCTCTTAACTGATACAGTGTTCTGTTAGAGATTGCATTGGACATAATTAACACTCATGTACGTTTGCATGTTACAGAGAGTGAGTGGATAGGAGCATGATCCCTGTTTTACATCATTGTTCCTCATCGTTCACGTCCCTCTCTCCTGCTAATGTCAGATCCTGATCTCCGAGGGCCTCGGCGTCTACGCCAGGGACCCGAAGTTTGTGAGCTTCGCCAAGCGGGAGATCGCCGAGGCGTGTCACATGAGTCTGGACGACATGGAGAGCGCCGCCACCGACCTCATAGCTCGCGGGGCCAGCCAATCGATGGCTCGCTTTGAGGACGAGCTGGCCGATGAGATGAACTGCGTGATTTCTTACTGAGATCAGAAAAACTGAAGAAAAAAAAAACTGTGTGAGTGTTTCATTTTTCTCTGGAGAAAAAACAAACAAAAGTGGACCAAACAGCACAAGAGTAAGAATGATGTGATACAAAAGGGACAGTTTTGTGTGCTTTGTTATACTGAGGTTAATATTGTGCTGGTAAGATATACTTTAACTTTTGTAAATGCCAAAACACACACACAGTATCACCCACACACACTGATTTTAGGGTGACATGTCAGTTTGTGGCAGTTTGGCATCGTCATGACACATGATCATTTTTTGCATTGTATACTTATTTTGTACTGAACTTGAATTATTATCACTTTGTACACATTTATCTACTGCATTCTGAATATCCTCTAACATTCAACATAAAAGCTCTTTGTAAAGTTTTGATTTCTGTGACTCAAAATAAAGTATTATGTTTTCTCAAATGTATTTGCTTTTCATTTTCTCTCGTGTTATAGTTATGGTGCCTGTGAAGTAATAACGATGCACACGAAGGTCCTTTTTGAGTTCTTGTTTTTACAGCAGTGCTTCAATGGAGGTTGAAACCAGCAGCAGAAATGAATTACATAATCATAGCAATTAATGGACCGGCAGATGGACAACATCTGGGTTTAAAAAAAAGGAAGCAAAACGTTCACCTACATGTGTCTAATGTTCCCTGCTAAATTATACACTGCATATTTTAGAATAATTCATTCTTATCGAGATCTCGAACTCTCCCTGAACTTTCCACAAAGCGTTATGTGCAGAATCAAGTTTCCCTACAAGGTTCACGAGACGAGCGACCGTATATTCTCTGTGAAAAACACCATCACCTGACATTTGACGGCGCAGAGCTGCCCATTAATGAACAACTGCAGTTCAGGAACCTTCTGCGACCTTTTTATTTCCCCTATTTACATCCTTCTTTCCGCCCACTAAAGCGTGAACCCCCTCCACGCGGCTCCACAGCCTCCGGGCTCGATCCCGACCTACACGCCTTAGAATAAAGCAGCGCTGCGATTGGACGGCTGGTCTTCACGTCAACGTCCGGGGGTTGATGAGAAGGAGGGAGGGTGGAGGGGGGGGGTGGGGTTATCTGACGTCACGACGCATCACACGTCCTCGCCCAGCCCGTGACGCAGTCCAGCTCTTCCTCCTGGGCGTCTTCCTCCCCTGGGCTGTTCCGGGTGAGACGCCTCCCTCCCTCCGCCCCTCTGATCCTCTTATCAGCGAGTAAGCGGCCAAGATGGATGTTGTGAATCAGGTGAGGCTTTTTGGGGGGCGATATCTTACATTTCACTGTGGTTCTGTTTGGTAGATGATGCTCGATCGATCTACCTTATTCTCCCGTGTCGCGGGATCAAATTAAGGCTGTTTTTGTTGCTTTCAATCCATCGATGTTACGGTTGTAATGCAGTGCTTTCGATTACCTTGGAGTCAAAATTAATGCATTTTCTTAATAAAAAAAAAACTGCATCGATGTAAAAGCGCGACATAATTGTGTGATACAATTGGACCATTTTCAACCACTGATGCTGCGGTCGATGTGATGGAGCGGCCCGCTGACATCTCTTAAAGACAAAAACGTGTAGGATGCACAGAGATTTCTGCAGCCGTGACATTTAGCGAGGACGTTTAGCAGATATCATCTGCAGGGCTTTCCGGCCTGATTCATTCGGACCGCTCACGTCTCAATGAGCCCCGCCGTGGCCATAGATTACAAACACGACTCGTTTTCCAAAAAGGCCCCTTTCGGTGTGTGCGGGGGGGGGGGAGCCGCAGTAGGCCCCGGACACACCGAGCAGGAGAGGAAGGTCTCCTGCAGCTCCAGCGGAGCCGAGTGCACGACAAAGGCAGCGACGCTTCCCCGGAGAAAGGGAGCGAGCCGCCGGCCCTCAACGCGGGTGATGTGGCCCGTGCGTGCGTCATCTGCTTTCAGTACGGATGTAGGGAAAGACACGACGAGTGTGCCAGTGGAGTGAGACGGAGAGAAAAAAAAGGCATCGCTGCTGCTTATTTGCAGTGCGGCCATTTATTGATGCACACAGGGACACACCGCCTTCTTTGCGCTGTCGCATTCACCTGCGCACGAGAGATCCCTCCTTTTTCTGCCGTCGTGAATTACGCAGATTTCGTGAGATTTGGTCTCAAATGAATAGTACAACATTAAAAAAAGAGACTGTCGTGATGTGTGCTGTGAGAGAGCAGGGAAAACGGTCGGTTAATCAGCTTTAGTGTAATTATGATGCCCCCCCCCCCCCCCTCTCTCTCTCTCTCTCTCTCTCTCTCTCTCTCTCTCTCTCTTCCACACACACCTTGATCACTGGCAGAACATATTTGCTCTGTAACGAACACCCGCAGGTGTCAGTGGGATAAAGGAGGCAGAAATGTTCAGGTTTCTTTTTTCATCATCATCTGGTCTAAGCTGATTTGACAACGATGTAATAAAAACCCTGCTAATTATTAATATGTTATATTTCTTGGCAGTTGGTGGCCCAAGGGCAGTTCACGGTGCTCAAACAACCGTTGGGATTCATCAAAATTCTACAATGGGTAAGTGTTATAGTTTGCATATTGTTGACAACAAATATGACTAATGTATGAAAAATATCCATTTTAGCGAGAGAATAAATTCTCAGAAAGGAGTATTAACATGGATGAACCTCTTGGGGCGTGTGTGTAGTTGGCAATAAATAATGTTGTCGTGCCCCGTGACTGACAGGTCTGTGACCTTCTGTCACACAGAGGTCACGAAGCTGCAGGGGGCTTAATAATGGATGTGACTCTGTACCCTCTTAGTAAAACAACAACATGGAACTCTCTCTCACGAGGACCTAAAGTCACACCTTTTATTTATCTCTAGGAAGACTGTGGAGCCACCAACATTGTATATAACTATCACTCTACTGAATAGAGTACATACTTTTTTTTTCAAGCAAAAACGCGATGTGAAAAATTTCTGTTTTTAGATCTCAAACTCGACTAAACAAATCTAAATACAAAATCAATCTATTATGTGGCAAGTTTTGGCCCAAAAGGATTCATTGATTAAACAAGAAAATAATCAGCTGAATGATGGATGATGAAAATAGCTGCAGCCCTGGTTCCATTCTCGCTGACACGATTAGAAGACCAGACATTAAGGGTATTGTTAACCATAGAGACCACAGAGCTCCTCCTGAAGAGGCTGCAGGGTCAACAGCCTCTCTGTTGCAGTGGTCTTCTGTCTCTATACAGCTGGGGCACCACAGCAGGAATAGTGGCGCTAATTACCCCACCCGGGCCCCTCCAGCTACGCAAGGGCCTCTAAACCGGGCCTTTTCTTATCTTATGTAATGCTTTGTTGAACACCGATGTGATGACTGGTTGTAACCAGTTTGCACTATCAACCTAGTGAATTCCTTTGCATCCGAACAATACCCAAATATTTATAGTTCTGGCTGCTCAAATACGATGGCTACTGATGCTTTTTGTAGTCATATGTGATAGCGGGCCGAGTACCTCTGGGCTTTTGACCGTTGCTCTAGCAAAACAAGCTATACCATGAGGTCACCTTGGGATTATTTCCACTGTTTTCTGATATTTCATTGACAAAACAATACGTCAAATCAAGAAAATAATTGGCTTTAGCCCCAGATTGTTAGATACACGTCAGATGTAGCCCTAATCATTTTAACAAGCCTTACGTTCCTCATTAAATTTGTGCATGCCGTGTAATTATGAATAAATTTTCGGAGGGTGGATGAGAGGGGAGTTGAGGAGGAGCTGCCCCTGCTGCACATAGGTCCCATAATTTATGCTGTGATCCTCATTGCGAGCACACGCTTAACACAAACCAGATGAAAACATGCGTGCCAGCGCTCCCCCAACAGAGGGCCACACTGCAATGGGCTCTGCAGAAATGCCAGCAAGCGGTCGCAGGCATGAGTCTGCTGCATGACTCTGTAGTCCTTCCCTGGAGCTGTGTGAGTGTGCCAGCACCTCATCACTGCCTCCCCGGGTCACAGCGAGGCAGCCACCAATGAGGAGCCTCGCTCAGGAGGCCAGGGCCCATGAATCATCCGTCAGAGGGGCCCGCGTGCCTCAACGTCAGACTGGAGGAGGAGCTGCTGGTCTCTCCGTATCATAACGGCCAAACACGACTAGGGACACTGTGTTGTTGTTTTTTTGTAACAGTCACTATGTGCAGATTTTCTTTTTTTCATAATTTGCCAGCAGTGCTCACGTTCATATAGTTCAATTATGGAGATGAGATTGAATTGATTGGATCGGTTGAGACCGGCGGAGGACGTGTGATTTGTTTTTTGCAGAGATTTCGTCCACATTTCACGATGGAATGTGTTAGATTTCGACAGCGTTCCGTTTGCGTGACTCATGTAGCTCTTCGCACCTCCCCACACCCCCCCCCTCTCTGTCCCTGGGGAATAGTGCTGACAAAGCCTAGATTTGATTGATGCTGGAAGACATTGAGTTTCCAAATAGCGCTGATGTGGAGCTCAACCACGGACGCCTGCCTCCACCGCTACAGGACGGCACCGCTGTGTTCCATTTCATCTCAACACAAATTTCACTTTCTGACTCATACAAAAGCTGTTTGCAAAGACACAATTCGCTTTGCCTGAGTCCCTGATGTGTAATAAAGGCTGTTGATTTTGTTGATTTTAAGCTCTGGGGCGTTTTGCTGTTCGGAAGCTTGGTGACTCACTGTGGTTGTTACCCCGGGGCCTCTGTAGGCTCAGCTTGTGTTTGGTTCTATGCTTTTGTGTTTTTTTGGCTATGTGTAGGGATGTAAAGAGCTGCTTATCGCCCCTACAATGGTCGGGGTCAGGATTTTAATTGGAAATCATGCAAGACATGCAGGCCGACATTACATCAGTATTTACATAGATAGATGTCCGATAACTAAAAGTCACAGAAATACCAAAGATGATAAATATCATCATCGGAAAAAGGAACTTGAAGGAGTATCTCAAAAACTGCTACTAATAATCTTACATTTGCGTGTTTAAGTGGGGGGGGACATTGTTAGGCCAATGTCAAATGTCGATATTCTCCGCTTCAACAATCCTAAATTGGTCGCGCTCTGCAGTCGGCGCTTTTATCGATCGTTGTTTTCAGAGAGGGACACACAGACATTGTTAGATAGGAAAGCAGACGGATCGTTCGTGTCTGAGTGTGTGAGATTGTGTGTCTTCACAGCACAGAGGAGCTGACAACCATCCAACATACCAGGACGGGTAGAAACCAGCCTCTGCCTCCTCGCTGTGTGTTGCTGCCAATATTGTTACCATGGCACCGAACACCCAGAGTGCCACCATCTCTTTTCTCGGCCCGCTTCGGCCTCCTCTTCCTCCCCCATCACGTCTCCGTCCACTCATTTATCACCATAGAAGTACAACTCTTAATTGTTGCATGGTCCCTCTCGTTTTAACTCATTTTCCTT